TCACTGAGAATGAGAAACTCTCATGATCTCAATATAAGCTTATTTTCATGCCTCAAGCCAATGGAACCTGTGGAGATACCTGATAATCTTTGCTACCTGATAACCTGCAGTGAATTTAGCCACACCTTTGTGCTTATCATCATCATCGTTATTATCGTCGTCAATCTTAAATATCCTTTCGACTCAATTTTTACTTGTTCCCAAAAAAAAGTTTATCATTTGATTTGTGTGATAATCATATTTGTAGCAATTAAAAATCATTGAGAAATCAGTTAATCATTAATAGAGTTATACTTTAGATTGTGTTTCCTATTACTTGAAGTGTATTTAGTTTGACAAGTTGAGAAAAAGTTTTTTTGATTAGTTATGATTGTTTATAACATTTGAAACTAAATCAACACACAATTAAATATAACAACTAAATTTATCACAATTATCATTGGATTATTATATTGTTGTTATTATAATTATTGTTAACTTGTTGAAAGGTAAATGTAAAGTAAATTGGTTTTGCTCAATTAAAATGCTGATGAAATGAAAAGAGAGAGAGAGAGAGAGAGAGAGAGAGAGAGAGAGAGAGAGAGATTCATCATCTTGTCATCATGTTAATTGATGGATAGTTGGTTGATTGTTAAATCGTACAAATTTTAATCATGTCCATTGATTTTTTCCAAATGACCAGGATAAACTGATTCAAATTAAATTGTCTTAAGATGAAATATTAAAGTCAATCAACTGATTGAATGTTGAATCTTTTTCAACAAGATAATTTTTCAGGTTGGTCCAGACAATTTAATACGAATCACAATATTATCGCCTTAGGCAATTAATATTGAATCGGATTAAATGATGAACATAATCAACATAAGAATATATGTATTAATAATATCTTAATGATATTATATTACTTGGGATGAGGATGATTGAGTTTCCACCAGTAAGGTGTGGCATCTCAGTCATTGATCCGATAACATGAATTTACCTGAGATTAAATTAACAATGGAAGAGGAGATAATCAAGATTAACTATTGATTACAATTAATATCGCTAAACATTAATCATACTCTTTTTCTGTTGGCATCCCAACCATAATCAATGATTTACCTTTCATCATTGAGAGAAAATCAAATCAAAGTGTCAACAATCAACAGCTACTCTATTTGATTGTGATTATTTATGAATGGACAATCAAAGTAATCAATTGTTGCAACAAAATTAGATACACAACATTAGTTCAATTGTATATTAATAAATTGAATTTAATATTAATTTTAACAAAATTTTTTCTTCTCTCCCATTATATTAACCATTTCAATTGGATTAACATTAATTTCAACAGCTAATTGTGACAATTTAGTGACTCATAATTGTTGAAAATTAAGATTAGTTGATATGAAGTCAATATCATCAAACAGCATAAGGTTTTGAGATAATCAAATGAAAAGCATTTGTAATCAATTTAAAAATCACATGGGCAATTTTCTGACTCTAATGTCGTTTGATGTCAATGTGAGGTCACTTTTGAGGTCAAGTAATAGAGGACAAGGATGTTCATCTCTATCGGGGGTAACTTTATGTGAAAAAAGATCACGAATCATATGTTTTTTGGATTGACTTTTTTTCTCCTCGACTGTAACTATCATCTTATTTGGCATTTCTTTTTTTACCTTCAATGGTTTGTTTGTTTTTTTATATGTCAGCGACTGTCGCTTGATGGGAAATGATGCTTAAGAATCCGTTTTCCGGTGGTGTTTGTATCATCATCATCATTAGTACTTCGGTATCATCCCTATGGATTTTCAAGTCTTTTTCATTTGACCTAATTTAAGTAAATAGTTCTGAATGAGAAACCAGCAAAGTGAATGAATCAACAAGGGAGGCCAAATATCAGTAACAAGGAGATTGATGTTTCAATTGAAAACGGAAGTGGATGCAGAAAAAAATACATCACATTGAAATACCAAAAAAAAAACGATTGACAGAAACTGGCACTTTGATGATATTATTGTATGGAGAGAAAGAGAGAGAGAGAGATTATTATTAAATGATGAAGGAGGAGGAAGTTTTTTCATCCATTGAAAAGTCATGGTGAAGAGGATGAAAGTATCAGTTTTTTTGCTCTTTTGCCCTTCAATATATTGATTGATGAAGAGAAGTGTATCAAGATGAGGATGAGGATGAGGATGATGAGGATGATAAGGATACATCAGCTATCGGATGATTATTCGTGCCTCTAGAATAAAACTTTTATCTTTATCATCTGTATGCTATTATAACCTTAATTGTCTATTGAATTAACCTTAAAATGAGGGATTAAACTAGAAGATGAGTTTTGGGAAGTTAATCTATGGTGAACAATTATCATCATCATCATCTACAATTATCAATTTTCATCTCAACAACGGTAAGTCTAGTGTCACGGAGCAAATTAAATGGTTAAATTAATGGTTAACTTAAGGTTATTAATCAAGTTTGATGGTAAAAGCATATCGACTGGTCAATTTGTTACTCTTTGGTCAGTTGTTAATCTTCATTGATTAAAAGCCTTTGATTAGGAAACGCGTGTTATTAATCAATCACAATTAAAAGGGTTTCAACGGATTGATTTTCATTGATAGACTGGGATTATAATCAAAGAAAGTTAATTTGATTAAAAGCAATGATAGTTAATTGATTAATACGATAACCTTTTGAATCTTGTTAATAACAAATTGATCTTAATCAACATAGAATATAAAATTAAGGTGATGACAAAATAGTGATTTATAAATCAAGACATTTAAATATTATTTTTATAACAGATGAACAGTTGATTAATTAATCTGTCAGCTAATTTTATCTCAATCAAATCTAAGTCAATGTCAATCAATAATTTTCATTTAGGGAAACCAATTGATTTACTTTAAATTGTAAAAATAAAAACAAAATAATTGAATAAAAATTTAATGGATTAAATTATTTAATCCGATTTACTGTTAATTCGTTATCTTGATGTTGGAAAATGGAAAATTTCAAGATAATCTAATGAGCTTTTCCGGTTGATTCATTTAATTTATATTGAATCATTCCCACCATGGGAGCGGATCATAAGTCAAAATAATATAATTGAGAGAAAAATTAATGATTAACTTTGAATATTTGATTGTCGATAAAATTTCAGGTCGTTTTAACCAGTTTACAATTAAATATCTAAGACTCACCTCACGATTAAGGTGATTGATTGGATTTTATTTGATGTATCATCTTCATAATCATCATCTTAATATCTGATAAAAGGTTAATCGATTATGATTAAGTTAAATACACAAGGGAAGAAAGTTTCAATTTCAGGTTAATTGTTGAATATAATCAGTAAATCAAACAATTTAGTTAGAAAAAAAAGTGAAATCAAAGTAAATGTGATCATTATCAAGTTTGAACACATTATGATTAAGTTAATAATCAACAATATAACATAAGGTAGGTAACAATTAACAGTCTCACAATAGGTAAACTAATCAATCATTTTAATTGTAATTCTAATTCCGTTGGCACGTTCGTAATTATTTTTCTTTGCTTATCAAGTTAAACAACTAAAAGTCTACAAGGGATACAAGTCAATCGACAAGATGATTATCGACACGCGTTTCTGCACGTATTATAATAAAAAATGCGTTAATCTACCTTAGGAAAACATTAGACATAAATCATTAATAGTAGATGAAAAATCTAATGATTCGCTTGATGTGTACTAGAAAAAAATATCTATTGAGTTAATCATTAAGTTGATTGTCGATAATTATCTTTAGATCTATGTGATGATGATGATAAGCATCCGATTTGCCCTTAGGGCTTTTTGTTAGGACCTTTTGCTTGATATATTTTATCAATGATGTATTTTCATCAATTAAATTCATAGGTTGATTGTCTTTCTATTTTTTGTTAATTATTTCCTCTGTTAGTCAGTTGAGATGATAACAATTAGTTAATGGTAATTATTCTGTTAGTGTACATAACAATTACTATGGGAAGTGTTTAAATCAATTGATTAGTTGGATTAAGACTAATAGATTGACATCTCAATTAGATATTTTTTTTCTCATTCTTTCTCTGTATCTTAATTTACTCTCTCCGAGAAATTATTACCAACTTTGATCGTTATTATAACAATTAAGTTATTAAAATTAGGCGGTTAATTGTATTCCTAGGAAAATGTATCAATAAAACAAAGTATATAAATCAAACTTTGCGAGAATTGAGTGAAATTGTCAAACAATCAAGGGAATATGTTTAGTTAATTGTTGGTTATGTTTAGTTAATCTTATTGTTTCGTTTGTTAACTTCCGTCATTTTTATATTCCGTTGATTGTTAAGGAGAAATAAATTGTTGTGGTTGATTGTTGTTGTTGGAATTGCTAGTGTAATCTAATGCAATTAATACAATTGAAGGGAAAATTATTTGATTGGATTAACACTTGACAGCAATCAATTAATCTCATAGAGTATATATTTCAAATGATTAACTTAATTATTGAAGTAAAAATATATAAAATTTGATTGATTTGAAGGGGAAAAACAGGCTAAATTGTTGTGAATAATTAATAATGGAAAGAATAACATCTAAATTAATCAAACTAAATTAACAAATTACAAGAGGATATAAAAAATATCATTAAGATTGATTTTGATTAACTTACAGATAATAATGATTGGTATTATCAACAAGAGCTAAATCACTTTACAATTATATCTTATTAAGACCATGGGTTAAGCTAATTTGATTCAATGTTCACGTTTCAATTGTAATTCATGAAATTCATTGATAAATAAATATACTATCATGAATACAGAAAACAAGTAGCAACAGATTGTTATGATATGTTATTTGATTAAAATTGTTATTAGATGATGATAACTTGTTGATCGTGGTTTGTTAATCAAAAGAAAAGGCTAATTGAGATTGAATTAAATTACTGATTAAGATATAATTGAGTAAATTGTTTAATCAAAATTAAGCTTACCTTTAATAAAAACATAAGCAGATATCCAATCAGCAAGGAAACCAATTGTCCGAGCGTGAAGTGGTTGACTACAATTACAACGAAATGTAATTGCGATTGCTGGTGAGTGAGTTATGTTCATAGCAGATTAAGGGATTTATGATGGATTGAGATGGATTAATATTGAGTCAGAATATAAAAAACATACACAGAGGAAGAGAGCAATATAAATATTAGTTAGATGAGGTTAATTTTGATAGAAACGATTTAGCTTTTGTTTTTACAGTGATGATGATGATGATTATTATTCTTATTCTTATTATTATGATGATGATGACCGGAGATGTAACTAATTCCAACTTAATGGTGATATTTGTTTATCCAAGAAAAGAGAAAAGAATTTTTTTTTTCTGCAAGAATCGTTGAGAACATCATTTCTTTTTCTATGAGAGAGACAGTTTCACGTTTTTCTCTTGCTTATTTGAGTTAATTATGTGTATGTTCACTTGATTACAACAATTAAGCATAACAGTTGTTATATATTGTTGATTAAATAATAAATATATTCTTTCAACTGTCAAGACAATTGAGAAGATTTTCAGCTTATTGTTAATTTGCTTTGTTCTTGTTTTGATGGGTGTTAACTACGGTCATTTGCTTGGTTCCAATTGATTCCCGGTGTTTTCATTTCTATTCTTTTATTACATGAGGAAAACTGGATGGAACCATTTAGATTGTGATTGTTTTGATTTTCGCTGATGTTGATTAGGTTGATTTAACTGTTTTTCTCAAAACCACTGGATGTATATTGAAGATGAATGATGTTGATGACAAAGGAGAGAGAGAGAAATGATTAACGGTAACAACAACATTAATTCATTTCTCATTCTGAGTAAACAGAGAAACAAAAAACACACAAACAAATGAGATCCCGAAATTGTGGTAATTAGAGTTGGTTATTGACAAACAATTTGAGAACAGAGAAAAGTAAATCAATCGTGATTGTTGTTGTTGCCGTTTTTCACTTGAAAAATTTAAAAAAAAACCGATGATTCAACTGATGATGGTGTTAATTATGATTGAAAACAGTAATTAACCGGTGAGTTATTGTTTATGTTTGAAGAGAAACAAAAATGTAGGTAAAAACCGAGTGATGAGATTGTTGAATGATGAGAGAAATTGAAACAATTAGAAAATGTATATTTGTGTGTTAATGGCGATGACAAGGCAGTGATGATTGAATGGTAAGGTAATTGTTAAATAGAATAGAAAATCAAATGAAACTGATTAAGAGAGAAAGAAAAAAGAAAAAGGTGTTAAGAAAATGGTAAGAGGGAAAAGTGATTATCACCGAAGATAAAAAAGAAAATAACAATTTTGAGAAGCTTTTCTCTTCCTTTTAGGTGATCGTGAAGAAGATAATCAGGACAAGATAGTTAACTGAATTGTAACAATTTAGAAGATTGAGAGAAAATTATCACAACAGTTGAGAAAAATATGATAATTTAAGGAAAATTGTTCAGAGAGAAACACAAGTTGTTGTCAAGGGAGAAAATGACATGATGAGAATTTCCAACAAAAACGAAAAGAAATACACTCAGGATATTTGGTCTATTCTTCTTTTCTTCACATGGCGGGTAAATTGTTCACTTAATTGTTTTTATCGAAAGTGATGATGAAGATAAACTAAAAAGATGAGGATGATGAACGAAACTAAAAATCAACTCTAGAAAAAGTTATTCTTCAAATGAGAAGAGAAAAAAAAGAGAAGAAAAAAAATTCGATTTGAGTTTGACTTCCATCTATTGGATTAGAATCACACTAATGTTTTTCTCTTTTTTCGCCAAATCGAAATTCGAATTTTTTACTCTGCCATCTGCTGGTCACCAATAGAATTTCTATTTGAATTTGTGTTGTGAGGGAAAAGATTATTCATCACATTGTTATTTTGTTTCTATTCTCTTAATTGTCTGATTTTCCAAGTGAATAAATTGATTGATTTATATGAATTTCTTTTTAATTTGTGATTTGTGATCTTTGTCTCTCTTGTAGGTACTGGTTGACTGGTGGAAAAGGAGATATTCATATGTAATGTCAGCTCCAATTGCTGAGAGAAATCAAGATGCCACCATTTATGTTGGTGGTTTAGATGAGAAGACAACTGAATCAATTTTATGGGAATTGTTTGTCCAGGCTGGTCCAGTGGTCAATGTTCACATGCCTAAGGATCGTGTTACCAGTTCCCATCAAGGTTATGGTTTTGTTGAATTTATCTCGGAAGAAGATGCTGATTATGCTATTAAGATAATGAACATGATCAAATTATATGGTAAACCCATAAGAGTTAATAAAGCATCGGCTCATCAAAAGAATCTCGATGTTGGTGCTAATATTTTCATTGGAAATCTTGATCCTGAGGTTGATGAGAAATTATTATATGATACATTCTCTGCTTTCGGTGTTATATTACAAACACCTAAAATTATGAGAGATCCGGAGACCAATAATTCAAAGGGTTATGCTTTCATTAATTTTGCCAGTTTTGAGGCATCTGATTCAGCTATTGAAGCCATGAATGGACAATATCTTTGTAATCGACCCATAACAATTAGTTATGCTTTTAAGAAAGATGCTAAAGGTGAAAGACATGGATCAGCAGCGGAAAGATTATTGGCAGCCAAAAATCCTCTTAATCAATCTGATAGACCTCATCAATTGTTTGCCGATGCACCACCAACAGCAGGACAACCGGTTGTTGTCACTCAACCAATTGCACCACCGCCAATGTTTTATCCTCAAGAAGATATTACCAATATATTGAATATGATGAATCACAACCAACCACCAGCACCATGGAGTCTTGGAGCAGTTCCACCACCGCCACCACCCCAAATGGCCAATCCATTTGGACTTGTTGTACCACCGCCTCCACCACCTCCGCCACCTCCTCCACCTCCCCCGCCACCACCGTCACAAGCTCAACCATCAATGGCAACTCTTTCAACCCAGTTACCGCCGCCACCACCTCCACCTCCACTGCCTATTGGACTGACAGGATTACCAACTCCAGGATTACCTGCAACCGGCTTAGGAGCTGCCATTTTAACACCTCGACTACCTGGGATGACTCCAGGAGCACCTCCGCCTTTTGCTATGCCTCCACCGCCTCCCCCGCCTCCTCCTCCACCACCACCTCCACCGCCACCGCCATCAGCTTCAACTGTCAATGATAACTCTTAAAATGTAAATAAGCCATCAAAAACGTAAATTACTTCACCTTTAAGTCAATTGGATTACAAACTTCTCGTATCAACCTGATCATCACAATTTAACCAAAAGAAAATGAGAAACACTTTGTATTCTTATTTACAGTTCAACCATTCCTTTCACAAATCAAAAACAATCAACATGTTTGTTCAAATTGTGATTGAAGAAGAAAAAACCATAATTAATTGAAAGCGAAATTGTATATCACTAACATCCTAATTGCAATCAAATTAATCTGCAAGACGAGTTAGGGAAAGTTCCCAAATCCTGAGTTCACCAGAATCACCATGGTATCATAAACCCTAATTCTATCTCCAAGGTTAAATGATTTACTATTAATTACTAAAGAAAAGAAAATCGTAAGAAAAAGTCCCCTAGCAAAAAAAACTTACTAAATTACCAACAATTTAGTTAAATCTATTTACGTAAAATAAGTAAATTAACCTGACACCCATTGGGAATTTGTACCTGAATTTTGTAACAATTATATATTCTTGTATTTTTGTCCCAATTGTATTTTAATTGTTACTCATCAGCAGAACAACAATCAAAAACAAAAAGTAAAAAGCATGTAAAGACAATTAACCATAAAGGGACAATCAATAAATCAAATCCCCCTCTCCCTCTCTGGAGTTAATTAATTGCCCAAGTTAAAATTGAGCGATTAAAAAACCCAGAGTCTTAAATAGCCTCCAGGTAAAAGTAAACTCATAAGAGAGTTAAAAAAAAGTTGATTTTCATTATCAACAATTAAATCAAGAGAATGGAGTAAATTACAATAATCAACAAATTTCGAAAAGAAAAAAAAAACGAAATTTAAACGGAAATTTTGATAATATTCAAATCGTTGTATTCGTTTTGTAATAATATCGTTGACGATGATGAAAGTGAGAATCAGGTAACGAAAAGAAAGAGAATTGAATAAATTATTATAATTAAAAATAAAATCGAAAAGTGTGAAAAAAATAACAAAATAAGAGGAAAGAGCAATCAACTAACTGGCTTAAGGTAAATAATTTGTTGGAATCTTTGATGATGATGAATGATGACAAAGAGAGAGAGAGAGAGAAAAGGAGAGAGAAGATGATGAGAGAGAGAGAGAGAGAGAGATAACAGTTAAAAACTTGTTTCGAAACGAAAAACTATCAACAAAAAGTTATCTTAACTTTGACTCGATTGAAATGAAGCAACGATAATATTTTATCGTCAGAACTCAACCAGATAACAACAATCAACGAATTGTTTATTTGATTAGTTAATCGTTTCCAACTGAATCCATAATCTAATCTTGAGGTTTTTTTGTTTACTAATCTTGGTAATTGTTTTTTTTTGTTCGTGATTCACATTGTGAGTGCGTCTTTTAATTAGTGGGTCTAATTTTGTGCTCTAATCTAATCAAATGTCGACCGCAACAATTATGAGAACCAACCAAACGGTTGATCGTTTCAATTACTATTATCACGATGTTTGGGAAGTCTATGGTGACCCTCGAGTGTCCAATATGCCGATGATGAATGGTGGACCTTGGATCGTTCTTGCGATAACCGGAGTCTATATACTTTTTGTTAAACTCCTTGGACCCGCTATCATGTCAAAACGTGCACCATATGACCTGAGGTCGACAATATTTTGGTACAATATTGCGCTGGTCATTTTGAATGGACTTTTCTTCATCTACTCGGCGATGTTTACCCGTTTCGGTATTCGTACCTGGCAGTGTAATCCAATTGACCCCTCACAATGGGATAATGAGGTTAAACTTAAGCTCAGTGTTGCCTGGATTTTTGTAATGTCCAAATTTGTTGACCTTTTGGACACAATTTTCTTCGTGTTTCGTAAAAAATATAATCAAGTGTCCGCTCTTCACGTTATCCATCATTCCCTGGTACCAATTAATTGTTGGATGGGATTTAAATATGTTCCCTCTGAATCGGCCGCTTTCATGCCCTTCCTAAACTCTTTTGTTCACATGGTCATGTACACTTATTATGCCCTTTCAACCTTTGGTCCAAAGGTGACACCTTACCTCTGGTGGAAAAAGTATCTCACCCAATTGCAGATCATTCAAATTGCCCTGGTTTCCATTCACTGTGTTTACATTGCCCTTTTACCTTCATGCAAAGTGCCAAAGTTTGTCTTCCTCATCGCTCTACCTCAGGCACTTCTGGTTCTTGCAATGTTTTGCTCATTTTTCACCAATTCATACACATCAACACCCAAACCAATTTCATCCTCATCCTCATCCTCATCTTCATCATCTTTAGCCAAGCAAAAATCATCTTAATTTCTTGATAAAATTTTTTTCTTCTCTATTTCAAATCTTCTCAATGTACATCGTAATTGAACCTCAAACGCCGGTGTTTAAATATCGATAACTTTTTAATTAACCTAATCACTTAGTAAACATAATTACTCACTCATTCAGAATTTGATCCGAATTGATGTTCCGTTATTGAGCTTTGAATAGGCAAGTGTATATTTCCGAAAGTTCTGTATATTGAATAACGAAAACAACAAATAAGATCGAAAAAAAATCGATTCGAAAAATTGTTCGTTCGTTTATTATTATTATTATTATTATCGTTGGAAAACTTTTCGAACTTTTTTTCGAATCGATTTTTTTTCCGCAAATCAACAATTTTACCAACGAAATAATTATGTAAGGTAAACAAATTAACTAATTGCTAAATGAATGAAACAAAAGAATCAACTAATTAATTGAAATAATGGTAAATAAAAAAAAGTAGGTAACACTAACTACGCACAAAGAAGTTGATTATGATTCTAATACATTTAATTTCATATTATTATCATTATTATAATATGATTATTGGTTGATTGTTAACTTACTCTAGAGTGATTAGCGATTAGTGATCCGAGTAGTAGTCAGTATTAAGTAAATTGTTGTTACGTTAATTACTTTACCCATTATGATTACTGTTAATGTTAATATTGTGTATCGACGTTGATTGTTACCGTTTGGTGTTGATTGCAAGTAAATTGTTGCCTTAATTTTAATTCTCTTCTCTCTTTTCCTTAATTTACTTTAAATTTTATTATCATTTATAAATTACCTTGTTTTTTATATATATACCTGTCACTATTTCACCTGATTCATTAAGTTAATTGTCAAGGAAATCAGTTGATTCATCATTCATGATGATTAAGCTTATGAATTTTTTTCTGTCTTCATTTTTTTGATTAAGATAATGATATTTGTATCTATTGCTAATATGAAACATTGTTTGATTGTTGTTAGTGTTAGTTAATTGTTATCCTTTTTGTGAGGTTTGTAAAAAAAAACCTTAATTATTTGAATGATTAATGATCAACAATTTGAATCAATTTAGATGATTAAGTTTTTTTTTAAGTTCACTTATTGGGTTAACTCCAATGTTTTTATATCTCATCTGAATTCTGGCAATTGAGAGACAATTAGTCAATCAATCAATCAGTTGGACAATTGGCTAATTGTTACTGTTGGTTAATTTAATTTTTTGCTTCTTTTAAATGTAATCATTGTGATCATTGGCATCATTGGTTAATCACAATTAATTATTTCTAATTCAATGTATAAAACAATTATACTGATTTTTTTTCTTAATTGTTGTACAGTTTGTGTCTTTTGTAAATCATTGAAATCTAACCAACTAATTAAATTAATCCTCTTGTGTTTTTTACAACAATCAATTTAATCATATTAATCATTTTTTATTTTATTATTAAATCACTTATTCAACTAAAGATGAGAATTGAAATGAAGACAATAGATGATGATGATGATGATAATCAACAAACGCTCTATCAATGTGAATTAAGCTATTGGGTATTTATTTCTTCATCCAATTCAATACCTTTTTGGTATAATGATGATAACGAGAAGACAGAGAGAGAGAGAGAGAGAGAGAGAGAGAGAGAGAGAGAAGACTATCACCAAGAAGATATGAAGATGAAGAAGTGAAGGAGGAAAAAAACAAGAAGATGAAAACACAGCGAGAAAAAAGTTCTGTCATTTTATTTGGATTTTCATGTAGTTTTCTCAGTTCATTTTTCCTAACAAGTTTATTAATTGTGGAACAATCAGAAAATTTCATTAATTAATCAATTCCAGGAATTTACTTTCAAGAAATAACAATAATTTAGCCATAATTGTTGATCTCGGTTGATTGACAAAATCAATTATAATTTCCCTTAGTCACAAAACTTTCACGTAACAATATTATGAAATCAAATATTAATAACTGGATAGAAACTGCTATTTGTTTGAAATCTATTTGTCTTTACCATCCTTGCAGTCAATTTTATCATTTGATTTGCCTTTAATCACGAGCGTATAAGTTAAATAAGTGGCCTCAATCGCTGCCGTTGTCATAGAAATCAATTTAATATTAACATCTCCAGGACAGTCTCGAGTGAACATATAACCAATGTGACCTGTATTGATTATACCCGAAGCAAGAGTTGAGTAATTAATTAGATTCTTTAGTGATCTGTATGATCCATACGATTGAACGGGAGTCAATAGGATGTAATAAGCTCTTCTCAATGTAGCTAATATGATCTCACAAATTGGCCGGAAAAGAAATGGGCCTCGAGGATGTTGCCGTGCACCAAAATAGACGAGGAAAATAATCCCACTGGTTCGAAGTGCATCTAAACCAGGATTCTGTGTTTCCTTTTTCCGGACAATCATGTAAATTGTTGTGCTAGCGGTAAACAATTGGATCAAGAAAAAGGCAACACCCAAGTAAATCTGAGTCTCCAAAAGTGCAGGCTGAATATACGGTTCTGGACACTGCCAAGGTATCGTTGCCCACGAAGTTAGATACATGGCTAATGGTATTCCCATCGCTGAGGCACCAAAAATCAGCGCATTTGATATCAACATGTAAGGTCTTAAGTCGGCTGGTTTTGATGAGGCCACAAGCAAAGGTCCAAGGTGAAAAGCGACAAGTAAGTAAACAATAATAAAGATGAAAACAAACATCGGATTAGTCGCAAGTATTGGTACTTTTGAAACCATTGGATCGACATAATTTAACCAGGAAAATAATGAATCACTAACTGTCCCCGATTCCATTACTACAAAAAAAAATAACGACAAAATCAATCAGATTATCACAATCGAAATCAACTAATTTCAATCAATGGAAAGTAAAATAACAATTGGTGACAACATTGATTGAAAATGGAGATGAGTCTAACTATTTGATTTCTCTCCTTTCGAGTTGAATTTGTTAGTTAATTGGCTTTACTAAATTGTGGTTGAATTTGATTTGGGATTTACCTTTAAACTTTCTATGATGGTGATTGGAGACAATTATTATCCACATCAATCAATGTTTCATTGATTTACAATTTAAATTATCGTTACCAGAATTGAGATTTAAAATCAACTTTTTTTTGCGTCAAATAATTGAGTTAATGATATAATAATAGCAATTTACTCTGGTAAATTAAATTGTTACCACTAATTGTAACCTTGCATGAAGTAATAAACAAATTTATCAAGAGAGAATTAAATTAAATTGTAAATATTAATATTTACATGTGTGAAAAATTGTAACAATTAAATGTGTTGGATAAATTGTTTTATCTGAGGTTTCGATTGATTCTGACTTCATTTTCATATCAAATATCGTCGTCGTAATTTTATCAAAATTTTGCTGAAAAAATATTATTAGAATTGAAAACTTGAATATAAGCTGATCAAAAGTGTTCTTGATACAAAAACCCCTCAAATGACCTTCAGATAAACTGAATTTAAAGTCACCATGACCTTGAGATTTTTGGATTCGAAATGTTGATTTGCTATTGTATAGGTATTTGGTCGTTGATAAGTCCAATGGCCTACAAGTTATTAGCATACCAGAGATAGACTCAGGATGATGATCATTTCATCATGAAATAATAAACTAAGCCAGCAAAATATTTACCTATCATCATCATCATCATCATCATCATCGTCTTTCAGTTTCATGTTTCCACCCTAAGGCTAAATAAAAAAACTGGAGCATAAAAAAACCATTGAAAAAAACGGAAATGAAATTGGATCCATAGTTTGTTGGAAAATAAATGATTCCAACTCATGAAAATTTTGGTAAATTCAAATTTTGAATAATATGAAAAAAAGACAAAACAATTCAACGATATTGAAAACTCACATTGTATCAACACACCGGAGTGAAAATGTTTCCCACCGGTGTAAATAAAACTACCACCAATGTCTTACCTCGTGGCTAAATTATCTCAACAACGTAATTGCAATTAAATTTGTAGCCTCTTATTCAAGCCAAGAATTAACTTCTTCTTCTTATCCACCCTCTCAACCCTCTTGTTATCAACCAACAATTAACGTCAATTAATATGCAACTTGGATCATCACAACAATCAAATAATTTGTAATGATTGAAATCAAATCAATTGATTCATTGCCTTGAACATAATGATAAAAAATAACTTATAACAATCAAATTGATTAAACAATATGAATGAAAAATAAAATATCCATTTCAAAAATCAATCACAATTAACTGATTTAATTTTATTCACAACATGTATTATTAATGCATTATTGATATTCAATGGAAGTGATTAATTATTTCTTGAAGTAAATCAAACTAATTGCTGGTAAATTGTTGCAACAATTAAAAGGTTGATTAAATTTTCTTTGGTTTCCTTAATCATTTTCTCATTTCCAATCAAAATTGTCTGAATTGATTTTAATCTCGTTGATTGCTAATTAAAATTCAAATAATCCGAGAATTGATTCTTTCATTAACAATTTAATTATAAAAATTGTGACAACAATCAAATTAATAACAATTGGATGTAACATAAACTCCCGCTGATAACAATTTACAATCATTGACATTTAATTTATAAGATTTCCTTGATTATGAAAGAGTCATTGTAATCATGATAATGATAAATCAACAATTTAGTTGTCAATTGTAACAATTTAACCTTGATTGTTTACAAATACATGTAAATACAAACAAGATTAGTTAATTGTTACCATTGAAAAACAATGGGGAGAAAAAACTTTTTTTTTCTTAATCGCAATTATCATTATTAATTTAGTTTTTCTGATATTTTTTCAACAGTTAATTACAATTAACGGTCATAGTTAATCAGTTAATCATGATGATGATTAATAAGAGATGGAAATTATCAATAGAAACAAAAAGAAATGTAGTTAATTGATTAAATTGTTGTCGAAACAATTTGATAAGGTAACTGTTACAATCAGTCAATAGGATAATTGGATTCGCATATTTAACTAATTATCATTTCAACTAATTGTGATTAAGATGATGATTTGTTTTTCCTTCATTAACTATTGATTATTTTACACCTAAAAACAAATAAAATAATTAAAACCAAATTAAAATTAATTGAAACTATTTCTTTGCTCATTTTTAATTCTTATTGATTAATTTACCTGAAACTTTTACCTGTTAATTGCAATTAGTTTCTGTTGATTTAGAAACTTGTTAAAAGTAAATTAACCAACACACTATTTAACTACGTGTTTATAATAATCAAATGATTAACCTCAACAATCAACTCTAGACAATTAACGCCTAAGGGTAAGTAAATGAACTGATTTAAGTTAATTGTCCGAGTATTACCATTAAAAAGGAAGTTAATTAATCGACTAAAATTTAATCCGATCAAATTGCAAGGTTAAGGGAATACCAATAATGGAAAAGTTATTAATTGTAATTAGTTGATTATAAATTGTCACTAAATAATCAAGAGTAATGAACGTTAACAATAAACTAATCAGTTTGTTTTTTTTCGTGATTTGTACAAAATTAAAAACTTTCAATTGTTCAATCATTAATAATTAAACTAATATAAAAAAAAACTTTGTTGACAATTAGTTGATCATGTGAGTTTAATTGTTTCATCCATAATGATCAACAATCAAAAATTGATGAGGATGATAATATTAATCACTCAATGATAATTTGTATGAAAAAGACAAAAAGTTTAACAATAACAATTGAAAGTTAAATGAATTTAAATTGTTACAATCAACTGATTATCTAAAAAATTGGATTGGCAAACAATATCAGGAAGACTTAATCATGACAATTTAATGATAACAATTAAGTTTCGTTCAGCCTTTGCTGATATAAATATCGTTTCATCTGATATTAGTTTGTATCGATATTACAACATCTTCAACTCTCTCACTCTCTCTTTCTTTGTCTTCATTTTACTCTTTCTTTCATCATCTTCCACCATCATCATGTTAAAGGTCAAATATAATCAGAAATACCCTGAATTCAGAATCTGAATTAATGATTAAGTTCATTTTCGTTGCTCAAATCATCTCACTATTTTTCCTCAAACTTTTGATCAACTTATTTAAATTAAGTTGATCTTTATTTTTTCCTCCTTTAATCACAATCATTAAATTGTGACTGGTTATTTAATCACTATTACTTAGGTTAATCACTATTATAGATTAACAAGAAAAAGAATAAGAAAAAAAGGTTTAACAATTAACTAATTTTCCCGTTGATTTAAATCACTGATCATGAATCTGAATTTCATTTGTTTTGTTTTTCATTTTTTATATTTTCATCAGCTGATTGATTAAAATATTATGTTAATTGTTTAGTAGTTTAATTGTATTTGATTAGTAGCTAATATGGATCAGCAATATATATTAGTAATCAACAGGAAAGAAAGGTGATTAAATCAACTGAATAATGTGAATTAAATGTTGATTAATTAACCTTTCAATTGGAGTTTCAGTTTAACAGGTAACACATTTGAATTTGGATAAAGGTTAAAATTGTTCAATTAACTGATTCTAATTAACTTAATTGTTGCTGTTCTTCATGTGGTAATCATGAACTTACAACATCACCCAAAAGCAATTTAAAAGTCCAATTGGTGAGGAAAATATTTTAATTGTAATTAACTTTAATCTTTTTCTCTATTAATTAAATATCAACAATTATCATTTAGATGTTAAATTCCCGTTGTGAAAAAAACTGACCACTAATTAACAGGGAATAACCCAATCAAGGGAATTAGTTAATTCCCGATGATATTACCTGTTGATTAGATTGCAAGAACAATTAACTTTAATGTATATATATACAACTAATTGCCAATTGTTAATTGTAATCATCTGATAATTAATAGTTAATCCTAATTCATAAGGATAACGACACTGACCATTAAGTTGACCAGTCTAATACTTTGCTATAGTAACTTAACTACTATCTATCCTTTCAGTGATTATCTAATCATTTAGATTAACTTGATGATCAATTGAATCAACTTAATTCTTATGTAGCAATTAACTATTATTTGAAAATTAATAGTTTTCCATGATATAATATAATAGTAGCCAGAACTTTTGAATGGGAAACTTTTTTTTCCTCCTCGAAATGAAAACATTGTAATTGTTAAATTAAATTGTTCTGAAGGTGAGAGTATAAGTAAACAATCAAATTAATAGTTACAATTGAGTTTAATTAATTTGCAAACAATTTAATTAAATGGAAAACCCAATCAGCTGTTGGTGAATATTCAAGTTTTAGACATGAGATTATAATGTTAATCTTTACAGAAAATCAATCGATTTGATTAGTTGATCAGTTGAAGACAAGACGAGAGGAAAAAGATTGATTAGTTGGAGATAATTAATTAGTAAATTGTGTGTGTGTGTGTGAAAATTAAATGAAGAAATTACAATTATTTGAATTGGGGAAAAATAAGATTCTTTTTCCTCTAATCCATCAGAAAAGTAACTATTAAAACCTTTTCCGTTAATCCGTGTTAAAGATTAAGGGAAATGTTCATAATAATAGTGATGATGATCAGCACAATCAGGCGGAGTTTAAGGTTAAACAATTACAATTAAAGTATGAAAATTAGTTAATTGTTTTATTTAAAATGTGGATGATGATTATGGCGATTAAAAGTGAATAAGATTATAAGGAAAAGTTTAAGATTAATGAAAATGAGATGAGATTACAAAAGGATTTACTCTCTGTTCCTGTTGGAGGGATTAAGGTTTTCATCTTGAATTGACCTTCACCTTAAACCTTCACTACCTTTTCAAAGTTATCTAATTATTATCATTATTAAAATTACAGTATCATTAGTAATCAAGTAATTAGAATTAAGTTTAACAATCAATATTCAGGTTCGTGATTATAACGTGCAAATAAAACATATCGTTGTGTTGGATCAACACGCAAACCGATCAGCTGATTGTAGGCCAAATCTTTTCATTTATCAATTACTATTAATAATTTTCACTTATATTAATTAATTGAAACTGTAATTGTTGATCAATTTACTCAATTAACTATTGTCAAGGAAAAAACAATAATAATAATAATTAAATTAACCTTGATAACTTTTTGCTTCTTATTAACTTTCCTACCAACTTTTCTGGTCGATTTAAATTTAATTGTTTCCAAATTTAAATTGGATTAATTGTTAATTGTTGATTGTTGCAGTTGTATTTTTTTACTCTCATCATTTATATAATTTCATTTGATTGTCAACTTTACCTTTTGAAATTAACTGATTTAAGGGTTGGGAATCAATTTGGTTTAACTTAATTGATTTCGAGAGGAAGATATTTAATTGTTGTTGTTGCTATTTGGTTAAATATCGTAACAATTTATTGATACAATTAAATGATATTAACTGTTTTACTTTTGCGTAACAATTTTGTTTGTTGTAACAATTTAGTTAATTGTTAACTACATTAATTATAACCAATACATTTTGTGCCAATCGGCTCAATAATAATCATCAATTTTATATATTTCCCCAATTATAAATTGTAAGTGTGTGGAGTGTATCTAATATATAACAATTAATATCAACAATTAGCAGCTTGTTAATTTAGATTTTAAATTTCTCGTTAAACTTAACAATTTAACCAAATACATAATAAATATAAACAAATCACTGATTCACTTATTTAGTAATCACAATTAACTATTGATGTGTTTCAACCCTTTTTTTTTTGTTGGTGAAAAAATTGAATAAATTGTAATAAACTGTTACAAAAAAGTCAACAACAATTAAGATATTCAAAACCAAACTTTGCTTAGTAAATTAACCAACAATTAATTGTTAACTAAAAAAGTTTATTCTTATTCATTGAGTGATCAGTGAAAATTAATTATAATTCAATCAACTCAGAAACTTTAAGTTTAATTATGTATTTAACATTTGAAACATTTTGTTCAAAGTTAATTTTTCAAATAATTAGAAAGTTAATTTGATCAAATCAACATTTTGATTGAACTGAATTAAAATTAATCCAATTCATGAGTAAAGGGAAAATGTCTCCACCTGGTGGTAGAGATTTTAACTTGTGTTCGAAACTTTTTTTTTCGAGTCGATGTTAATTACGATGTTAATTAATTAACTACCTTACAATTTTTAGATGACGAAGAGAGGAGATGATTAAGTTAATCATTTGTTGGTTTACTATTGTTAATTAATTATGGAGAAGATTTAAATCAGCTGAAGGAAAAGTAATTTAATTCAATTGGTTTAAAAAAAAGTTTAATTGTTGAGGTTTTTAAATGGCACATGAGAAATGATTGTGAAAAAGTTTGTGTTATCAATCAGTAAATTGTAAGAATTGAGATTGAATCAGTAAACAAATTTGATTGAGAAAAGGTGAGAAAAAAAGTCAATACGATAATCAAAATAAATGATTAAGAAAAAAAAAGAGATGATTAATTAATTCAATGTCGATTTGACATTTTTCGTTGATAATTATAGAAATGGTGATTAGATGATTGTAGATATAATTGATTGGGTAAAACGGGTTGATTGTGATTCTGGTAATGACCATAAGATGATAAATGATTAGGATGAAAGTGATTTGGTTGATAATGAAGTTGACCAGAGGTTCTCATGGTTAAATCAGAATCGGATGATAACTTTGAATTGTTCTGACTGAGAGTAGCCACTGAATAAGACCCACCGGTGGAAGATGAAGTGAGAGATGATAATTTGCTTTTAACCGTTTTGAAAATTTTACGTTTACATGAGAAAGCGATGAATATGAATAAACCTTGAAGAGTATTAAGAATAATGAAAATGTACCAAAGAGTAAGAGATTCGAGGAATGAGGCGGGAAAACCGACGAACCAGGTCAACCCCATGAGAAGCCAAAGTTTAAGGTAAAGTTTGTAGTTGGTTCGAGCGGTGGTCATTTGTGTAATTGATTTGGTTCCCCGAGTGGTTGAACCAATCATCAGGGTGGATAAGATAAACATGATCAAGTTAATGGTCATGATAAGTGCTACCGGAGAGGCAAAGAAAATGATTAACGCTGATCGACGTTGAAACCAACAATGACCTGATAGACCAAGGCCTGGTTTCATTGTGGTTGGAATAAGAGTATCGGGAAGATTATCGGCCAATAAAGCGGCGCCCGTGAAAAGACCTGAAATGGTCCAAGCGTAAAGTGAATAAATTGCAAAGCGACCTCGTTGTTTACCAGTGGCCACTCTTAGTTCAACGGTTGCCATTCGCAGGGTTCGGCAAACATCCCAGGCGATTACGTTCATCCAGGCCATCGACGCGAGGAAAAAGTAAAGGACAGTGGCTCCCGTTAATCGGCAAAGAAGTGCCGACTTACGAATGGCCAATAATTGCATACAAATGAATGACGAATAGGCAAATATAAGTGAGGCCGAAAGGCAGACGAGATTGTGTCCAGATAGATTTCGAACATCGGAAACCAAGGAAAACGCAATTATATGTAAAATCAGCGACCCGATGGAAATTCCCAGTCCAATAAGCGTAATTAAGCCCATTTGAGATGAAAATTTGTTCAAAGATATTTCATAGTTAAGAAAACTGGAGCAAATATAAATAATATTTTCCTCAATCAGATAACTTGTTGAATTGAACGTTTTGTTATAACGAGGAACGAAAATTAAATCATCATCGTAGTTAATTGTTACTGAATTATTTGTTTCTGGTGAGCTTATGAATTCAATCTCGTTCCGAGTCAAGATTATCTTTGGACATTGATGAAAGTCCAGTTGATTGTGATGGTCAGTTGATGGTAGCTCAGTAATTTCCTGTTCCATGTTTTCATCATGAATCTGAAAGGAAACGAAGTGAAAAATTATTATCATTTTCTGTTACTTCATGGTTGCAATTAGTTAATTGTGCTCAAAACAATTTACTTCAAATCATGTAAACTATGAATTTCTTAACCAACTTGACATCATAAAGAATGATGAAAATCAATGAAACAATTGATTCCAAGTGATTTTTGGTAAAAATGACCAACGATTTGAAAAGTTAATTGCTACTTGATTGTTGAATTTCAAGGTTCCTATTATTGTCTATGTAATTATTTACTTTAACCAGTCAACAAAATTTCAAGGATCTCTCAGCAATCTGATTAATCAACTATTAATATTAACGATTATACAATCTGTTAATTTGCTTAATTACATGTACTTATTTACTTAACATGTTAATTGTCTGAGAAATTATCAATTTGATTGAACAACTATTTCAACAATCAACACAAACCAAACTTGAAATGCTGCAATCGCGGTAAAAGTTTACAATTAAACTCACCATGGTTTCTAATTCAGTTTGATTAACACAACGTCCATTAATTAGACGGTAATTTTTAAACCCACAAACAAGTGACCTGCACGATTGGGTAAAAATATCGTAAATCTGGTGCTGTGAGCATTGACCTTCGATCTGTCCCACCAGAGAGGAACCATTGTTTCCATTGATATCGAGTAAGATACTCAATGAAGCCGTTGGAACGGAGGATCGGCCATTAATGTCCTCCAAAATGCCACCATAAGGTGTACCCAGGGCTCGATTGATGATCGGTGAACATTTCAGTGAGGTCACATTAAGACCATTACAAAGGGCACAAGCAGTATTACGATAACCCGATCGATCAGTAAATCGTGAGGCCTGATAAGTTGAACATTCATTGGCGATCAGTTGATTATCCCAATTCACGGGACACGATTCAATTAGACCTGAGCGACAAGTACGAATTGATGATTCCACCGAGGCAGGAAAAACTGGATTAAGTGTACATGTTTTAATTACTCGAGACTGATCGGGTAGAGTTAAATTAACCATCCAAGAATTTTGTTCAACATTAAAGGCCAAATTTGATCGAATCTCATTTTCCGACAATTTGATATTCTTTTGAGATCCTGGTTGATCGGTACAGAGTAAATTTAGATTCCAGAAAATTTTATCTCGAGCATCAGAGTGACACATAGCACAGAAAATGTTTCGATAAGTTAATCGTCCAATTGAATCGGTAACGGGAAGTGAAGCTAATGGATCTGATTCGATGGAGCCGCGTTCACATTTCTCACGAAGATCATCATTCTGTAAAGTAGATGGACATTTAGTGACCATATAAAAACCACCCAGAAACGAAATATCGACACATTTAAATGGCCGATTCGATGGTGTAACCGAACCATTGATCCAAGGGGAATCGAGGCAACAATCACCATATTCACTACATTGACGATCACAGGCACAATTCCGTTCCCGTTCAGAGTCAACTTTTCGTCCTCTCAAAGCGATTGGTAAACATTGATCGAGATGAGAACAGTTCGGTCCCGTGTAAGGTTTTTCTTGTTCATCTTTATCATCAATAAATCCCGAAGAAAACGATAAACCACCAACCAAACCAGTGACAACGGTGGGTGTTAATGGAGCCTCAAAGGTATCTGGTGGTTCGGTGACAACAACAACCAGCCCACTCTCACGAGTCTCATGGTTCTCCCCTGGAAACGAAGCGAAAACCACCAGAGGAAAAATGGAAAATGGTAAATAACAAAGAAAGAGAAACAAGAATATCAACATTCCAAGGTAAACATTAAATGAACGATGGAAAAGATGATCAAGATGATGAAAGAAAGAAAGAGAAAGAAGAAGAAGATAAAAAGAATATTTAAAACATCCTTAAAGATCAACTTCGCTTTCTGACCTCAATTTACTTTCGTCAGAAAAAAAAAGTTGGAAAACACATAAGACGATCAGCGATTTAAAATTGAGGTCACATTTAGAAGTAGACAAAAAGAAACGGGAGGGAGAACACAACAAGATGATGATAGAGATGATGATGAAGAAGATGAAGATAAAGATGATGACAACTTTTCCACTCTGATTGAAAAAAGTGGTCACAGTTGATCAGAAAGTGATTAGAATCGTTGACAAAAAAGTGAGATAATTTAGCGATCGTTAAACTTAACCTTTTTTCATCAATTGATGAGCGCAATTGATTTCACAATTAAATCACGATTAAAACACTTTGATTACACTGAATTAACAACAACAACAATTAGTTAGTGTGTTGGGTAATTATGAAAATGGAAAGTTGAACCAAAAAAAAAGAAGTTTAGTTTTCACTGGAAAAAAAAAGAAAAGAAAAAAAAACAAGTTCTATTCGAAGCGGCCTCTAGTTTCGCGGGTTCCCAATTAGAACTTGAATTTTCTCATCCTCATTTATCTTCCAAAGCCCACCGGCGGTACAACTTCCTATTTATTATCTCTTGGTGGTGATAGACTCAAATCGAAGACAATTAAAAACAAACACAATCGATTCTATTAATATTTTCATTTCGTTCTAATATTAAACTTTTTTGATTGTTGACTTTTTTTCTCACTCTCGGTGTTTCCTCCTTCTCCTCCTTCATCTTCATCATCTTCATCGACTTTATCATCTTCACCTTCGTCTTCATCTTATCAATTAACTCAATTATTCAAAATTCAATTATCATGAACATTATAGGTAATTAATTTGAACTTAGGCATGATTTGAACTAGAATAGAATTCAATTTAATTACGTAGACCCATCTATCGATTTGAAAAGAAACTTAATCTTGATCTTTAAAATCAAAACAATTTTTTCGTTCTTATAAACCGATGTAATTTATATCTATTATATCTTATTATTTCATTCATAATCTCATATCATGTCAACTCTTCATATTTTTCAAAAACTTAAGACTTACGGTTGGATCAAGCCGAAAATTGTTGTTGTGTGTAAGGCTTGCAGACACCATCCCTATAGAAAGGTAAGTTTAGTTTCATTTCATATTGAACCATCTTGACCTGTTTTCTTTTCTATCTTCTATTCACAGGTCTACAAAATAATTAAGAAAAAATCTGTAAAAACCTCGAAAAGTGATCTGCCCTATGTAATTAAATACAGACGCCAACAACGCTATTTAGGGTATTTGGAGAAAGTAATTGACAAATTTGGTTTACCGTCATGTCGCCATGTTCCTTGGTGATGGATATTAATACATTCCTCAATTGTCCTCCTTTTATCAGCTAACTCCTTTTTCCACCTTCATGATCTCCCGCTGTACTTGATTGTTGGTGATGTTTGATTATTATCTAAATGTTTTTCTGATGAAACATTGATAATTTGGTGAAAATTTGATTGGATAATAGTTAATTTGTTGATTGTTGATGGAAAACAAGAAAACAAACAACATGTAATTACAATTGATTATGGTTTGTTGTGATTGAAAATATTATATTGAAAAATATTACATCATTTGACTGTACAGGTTTTGATTTATGTTAATTGTTTACTGATGTTGATTGCTTTTGTTTCTGCTTAATTGCTGAAACTAATCTCTCTCCATTCTTGCTCTAATTGCTTGGTAGTTATCCAATTCCTCTTTCTTTACTGATGGTGTGAAATTTTTCAACGCTGAATCAAAATCATCAGCAGTTATCACAATTGAAGCTTTTTTCTCTTCCTTTTCACCTGATTCAATCTGTTCAACGGCTCGTTGTAAAGCCGTCATCATGGCGGTTGAACAGATTGAATAAAAATCGGCTCCTGTTAAACATTCAGGTAATTGAGCTTCAATTGTACTTAAATCAAGTTCATCGTCAAGGTTAAATTTATTGGTTAATGCTGAAAGAACACTGATCCTTTCCTTTGGAGTACTTGGTGGACCAACATAGACCCATCGGTCGAAACGTCCAGGACGAAGTAAAGCCGAATCAAGAAGATCAGGTCGATTGGTTGCACCAAAGACGAAAATGTTTGAATAATTGGCCACAATATCCATTTCACAGGCTATTTGGGAGACAATTCTGTCCATCACACCGCCAGAATCGCCAAATTTACCTCTCATCGGAGCTAAAGAATCAAGTTCATCAAAGAAAACAATACTTGGCCGGGCTTTAATTGCTCTTTGAAAGATGGCGCGAATATTTTCCTCGCTTTGTCCAACATAGGCACTAATCAATTCAGGTCCTTTGACACTTAGAAAATTGTAGGAAAATTGAGAAGCAACTGCTTTTGCTAATAGTGTTTTTCCAGTTCCTGGTGGTCCATATAAAAGGAAACCACAACGGCGAAGTCCTGGTTTTTGAAGTTGCGGATAATCAGTTGGCCTTTGGATACAATCAATCACCTCTTTTTTGGCCTCTTCAAGTCCACCGATATCAGACCAGGAAACATTCGGAACGGTCGGTGCACCAAGTGAACGAGCGTATTTCTTTCCGTGCTCTTTGATTACACTAGGAATCATCTCGATAAATTTGGTCTCTTCATAATGATTGAGTTTAATACAAAGGGTTGTAAGGTCACCATAAGAATAGCCATTGGTTTGACCAGCAATTGAGTTAACTACTTCGTCCCTTGACTTTTGATTAGATTCACTTTCAGTCCATGGTTTAAGTAATAGGTTAATTATTTCCTTCCGTTCAGTTTCATTTAAATTATCGATGGACAAATGATTATTTGCTGTAAATATGAAGCCAAATTTACTTAAAATTTCATTAACGGGCTTTGAGGTAGATGCGATTAATATGATTCCTTGGTCACCATTGGGTCGATTTCGTTGACAGGAGACAAGAAAATTTTTCATCACCTCCTCAACTCGTATGTCCTCTTTGTCCAAACAGAGGAGGTCAAGGGATCTCAAGAAAACGATACAAGGAGAATAATTTTTCACTTTAATCAATTGAGATTCTAAAGCTTTAGCAGTGGCAACCGATGTATCGGCAAGTAAATCATAACACTCAAGGATAAAGAGGTTTAGATTTAATCGTGAGGCAACTTTGCGATTAATCAACAATTTACCACAACCGGTTGGGCCTGAGATGAGAATGGTGCCAATTCTTTTTCGTAATTGATACAAATAGGGTCGAATCATGTTACACAATGTGGTACAATATCGTTCGGGAACCGGAAGATTTGGTTTATCACTGAAATATTGATTAGCTGCATATGGAATTGGACAATGGACAATACCGAAGATGTAGATGTGAGTTTTTCCCGGTGCAGTTTGGAAACATTTACCAACGGTGGTTGAGTCAATTTTTTGTACAGAAAAATAGATGATTGGCCAATGAATTGAAACAGGATCATCATAGAGACGATAAAAATCAGGATTATTAGAACTGGCAATTGCAATGATATCATTTTGTCTGACAATTCTTGGTTTACTGAAATAATCATGAACCAGATTCTCATAGAGATGAAAAAGGTCACTTAAATGTGGATAATCTGGACTTATAACCAAGGAAATATTAAACTCTTTGATAATCTCTACATCATTAACCGGTCTAATCTGGAAGAAAATAAAAAAACAAAATACCAATACAATTACAATTTAGAATAAACAAAATATTCTTCTAACCATAAATTCACCTTTAGTGAAGTTGAATCCATGATAACATTAGAGTCAAGATGCTTGTCAGAGCCCAATAGATTATAGTAAAGAAGAGGTGAAATAAAAGCACAATCAGTGGAACAATTAATTGATTGTTTGAGGAAACAAATTTTGGCTAAATGATTAACATCATCAAGCAAATTCAAGTTAACCCAATCTCCATCATGGAAGCCATGAGAATCCAATAAGTCAACCAAATTCAAGTGAAAAAAGACACAACCATTGTCACAATCTTCTTGAGGTAAATCAATTGATTTCTCGAGAAGAACAAATTTACATGTAAAACAATCAGTAACCATACTAATTAATTAAACGAAAAAGAAAAAGAAAAAAAACAACCAAAACAATAAAAAATTAACACAAGAATAACAATCAAACTCTGAGAAGGGAAAAAAATGAAAAGAGAAAAAAAATTTTCTCAATCACCTGTTGGATCGGTAACCATGACAACCGAATGTTGAACAGAAACAAATAAATGAAACAAAAAGATTTGTACCAACAATTAACTCTAATCACAATATTGACTAGTCAATCATATTAACACCGAATTAACTGAATAGACAGAATAATCTATCAGATTTTCACCATAGGCTAGAGAAAGAAAGAGAGAGAAAAGACTAATCATTGGAGAGAGAGAGAGAAAAGAGAAACCAATGAAAGGAGAAAAAAGTGAGCATCGAAATAGGAAAAGTTTCCTCCTAGAACTTTTTTCTCTTATTCTTCTTAAAAGAAGACCAATCACTCCTCCCAGTTCCCAGTTCTCTCTCAGACTCACTCACTCTCTCTCTCTCTCTCTCTCTCTCTCTTCATAGGGATGATATTTCACTTTTTCTATCATCATCATAATCTAAAAACTCACTCAATTCAAAAGTTGTCATTTGTTCACATCGACTTTTTATCCAAGTGACATGAGAAATTAACAAGGATTGATTTGGAAATTAATTAAACTCCTATTGTAGTTAAATTGTTGAATTGATTGTTGATTGTTTACTAAATTTGTTCAATTATGTCGGTTGATAGTGTTGTTGTTGATAATAACACCAATGGTGATGATGGTTTAACATCATCAAATAGTAACAAGGTAACAATTGGTTTCAGTGTTTCGGATATTTTAAAATTACCAACCAATAAACGGATCGGTGTAAATTGTAATTATAAATCATTAAAATCATTATCATTAACCTTATCAGCTTCATCTTCATCATCTTCATCGTCCTCATCATCATCACCATTATCATCTTCCTCATCACCACCTTCATCTTCATCAAATGATAACATTGTAAATAATAAATTAAAGGATAAAACTTTATCCTCATCATCTTCATCATCATCATCATCCGTTAATGAATCAATTGATTGTTCATCACCATCAACAAACAATAATGTTAACCATCAAATTAATCAACATAATTTCACTTCACCGTTATATTATTACACTAATCCATATTCAAGATGGCTGCCAACAACCAGTGACCATTTATTTTACTTATCCTCACATCGTAAGTATTTCATTTCCCTGTTAATTGTTGACAATTAAACGATGAAAATTTTAGTCCATTTCATTTTATTCATTTTCCAATTGAAATTGATGACCAATTGTGAAACTTTTCCATACTTGTTTTCATCGTCATCGTATTTGTATCATGTTTTTTTTCAGCGAGTTAATTGTTGTCTAAATTGTTTGCTCATCATTCAGGTTCAGGATCGACTTCAACCTCTTCCACTTCATCGTCGCTATCAAGGTTAGATACACGATTTTTTAATTCGAATGGACAAAAGAGAAAACGTCGGCATCGAACTATTTTCACCGAGGAACAATTAGAACAATTAGAACACGCGTTCCAACGGACTCATTATCCTGATGTCATTTTACGTGAACAATTGGCCGCTCAGATTGACCTGAAAGAGGAAAGAGTTGAGGTGAGTTATTAGAACTTAGAACGAAAAAAAAACAATAATCGAAAACTTCGTAATTACTAAATTAATTTTCTCGAAAATCTCGTAATTTAGGTTTGGTTCAAAAATCGTCGAGCAAAATGGCGGAAACAACAGAAAGAAGATCAAGATAAGAGGCGACAATTAATCTCATCTGATTTACTATTTCGATCAACAAATCATCAAATTAATCATCATCATCACAATGAACATTTCACCGATTGATGTTAATTAACTAATTATTGTAATCAAATTTCAATTGTAAAAAACAGCCCGAAAATCATTGTAACTGTAAAACTGAACAAAACAAAAACAAAGATATAAAAGTAATTAAAACTAATTGTGTTCATTGTTAAATTTTTTTTTTATCGGTTCGATTTATCAATAATTTAATTTGGTCAGTTAAATTGTCGATGGTTAATCAACTAATAGTGATCAGAATGTTTATCTTTCTTTTTGCAAATGGAAACATTTGATGTAATGTTAATCACTTTTACTGATTCTTCAATGATGGTTGATTATTTAACCTGCAATTAAACATAATTAACACTTTACAGATTTCATTGGTGGCTAAATAAATCAAAAACAATTCATTAATATGTATTAATAGTTGACTTAATTAACTTTCAAATATTAATTAAGTTTTAAACTAATAACATGTAACATAAAAATTATATTTTTTTTAATTACATTGATTTTAATTAGAAATTAAGAGGTAATTATTAATTTCTAGAGATTAGATTAGACGATTGGCCAATTTAACAATTATAACAATTAACATTTGTTAATTGTAAGAAAAAAAAAAGATAGATTAATTATTAGATTATTAACTAAATTAAGGGAAAAGTATCAATAATTATGATTTTCAATTAATTTCATTTGAATTGATTGAAATGGTTTGGTTGATTTGGCGACAATTAAATATTATCATCACGTTTAAAATCAACAATCAACACACACACACACACATACATTGGTCATAATTTGATTGACGATCAATTTAATTATCTGTTAATAATGATCAACAAGGGAATTGTAAAGATGAATGAAATCTCATCAATTCAAGAGTTGAACTGATTAACATGAAAATTGATTAACAATCAACACTTGAAGGTTTTTAATGATTGTTGTTGTTGTTGTGGTGTCAATAACAGTTGATTTTAAAAAAATCAATCGAAAGGCAAAAAGACAACAATCAATTTTGATTAAAACCTATGGAATTGATTCAATTGGAAATCTATATATACGAAATTAGATTGACAAAGAAAAGACAACTTTTAGTTAGAAATTGATTCAAGAGTAAATCAAAAATACTCTTAAATTAACATGACAACTAATCATTTGGTGATTGTTGGTTAAAACACCAATTGAATACTAACTAATAAGCTAATCAAATAATGATAAAATCACTTGAAAATGATCAACTATAACTCGAGGTTAAAGGTAAACTACACATATAGAGCTGCCTATCTGTTGATATACAGAAAAAAACTATTGTAATGATTTAATAGAAATACAAGATTCCAATTATCATTCAAGTGTCATCTTGTTTGTCAATCTAATAGTCACAATCGATCAAATTTGATTGTTGAATTAAGTGGTAAGTTAAGAGTTCATATGATTGGCGATTCGCTTTAAAATCATCATCCTATCGACTGATTATTAGATATAACCAATGTGGAAATCAATCCTTGATCCTGGAATCCAGGGAATGGCAAACAGAATCAGTCTTGATCGTCTTGATTATCCAACAATCTAATTCCTGAAAAATGAAAAGCAAAACAAGAGAAAATTAATTGTTCTCATTTTGTATCAATGGAAAAATAAGCTGATTGAAGAATAACAGTTGAAATTTAAAGAAATATAAGAAAAATGGGAATAGGAGAGAAAAAAGATTCTAAAAGAATTAACTAAGAAGGAAATTATGAGTGAGAACGATTAATGGTCTGGGATAAGAAATAATCTGATTTAGGTAACTGTTTTTTTTCATATGTTGTATTCACAGTTAAGCGCATTTATAATCAGAAGAAATAGAAAACATCTATGATGACGAGGATGAGGATAATAATACATAATGAGATAGAGAAAAGAATAAAATTAATGACAAAATATCAATGAAATTCATCCTTTCTCTAAATATACTGATAACTTACAAGTTGAATATACACTTTGCTCCTTTCACTTAATAACATTATTATTGGATAGCCTTTAGGCTCATAATAACATTTTACCTTTTGTAGTTGTCATATTATTGGATAAATACAACAACATACCTACACATAGATATGCCCATCGAGTATATGTAACTACATGTGTCTCATGTGTGTGTGTGTGTGTGTTTGTATTGATGATGATTAATACGTAAGGATTCACCCAACTAATTCGGTAATCGATGTGAAACCTTAACAATCACTTCTTTCACCTGATTAAATACTGAATAAATATCACTTTATACTATTATTACTTATTAACATCATTATTATGACCACTCTGAAAAAGAAAGAGACAAACAGAGAGAGAAAATAAAGAAATACATTAATTGTTTATCTAATGCTTATAAGATTTGTAGCTTTTTCTTTACCTTTTGATTTGGGAGAACAAAAAAAGAAAAAAGAAAAAAGGAAAAAAAAAGAAACAAATCAATAATCATAATAGAAGAACATATTACATAATCGAAATCTAATTACTTACCAATTGATGAATAGATCAACGATATGAGCAATTAATTAGAAGAAGAAAAAATTAAAACCAATTAACTAATTAGAGAAAAAAATTAACAAAAAGATTCAATTATTTTCCCACCAAAAGAAAAAGAAAAACAAACCAATTGAGGGAAAATCTCCTAATTGCATAACTTGAAATTCTTTTATTTTTTTTTCTCGAAATTGTCACAATTAAATAATATTCTAAGAATATTATTATTAATGATTAGAAGCTAAATAATATTAATTTTGAATATGTATAAGGAATGAGAGAGAGAGAGAGAGAAAAAAAAAATATTCTAATCTACTTTTTTTTATTAGGAAATAGAATCAGTTTGAAATGAAAACTGATTTAATCAGTTGATTAGTTGAATTATTAATTCTTGTTATGATTAAGAAAACTTTTTTTTCCTTCTCATTAAAACCATGTGGACGATTGAAACATGGCAGAATTATACTTACAGGGAATAGGAATTAGAATTGAGTTAATCTGTTGAGAAAATTGATTCCCAGCCAATGATTAGAACTTTTTTTTCCGGTTTAATCGTTGATTGATTGTTAATCATTCTAATCATTTAGTTTCCAATATCATGTGTATGAGTGAGTGTGTGTGTCTATATGTTTACTGATTTATCGTATTAACTAAAAGATAAACAAATATCAATGAATTGAGACAAACAAATTGTTGTTTTGATAACAAAAAGTTGGGAACGGAAAAAAATATCAATAATATTAAATGTGACCCAAATCTTAACACTAATCAACTCAGAGATTAATTAATCAACACGTTTTTTATGAGCTTCCAATTATGATTAAGAATTGTGATCAGGTAAAAGTTAATCATTAATGATTATTTTAACCTTCAAATCATTAGGAACAGTTAATCGGATTGAGAATTATATTCTTGTGATTAACTGGGAAGCTTTTTAATTAGTATTATTATTTTTTTCATTATATTAATTAAGAGGAAAATTTTTCCTCATCATTTGTGTTAATCAACTGTCAATGGGATAATAAAAAAGTTAATCTTAATCATGAGGATTCTAGATTGTAATCAGTTGATAACGAGAATAAGTATCAACCAGAACGTTATTATCACAATTAAGGATTCGTTGATTGAATTGATTGTAAAATGTTGACCATTGGAAAAATAGTCAAATTAAAAGATGAGGATAATCAAAATTTAATCCTTTTAAGATTTACAAGTTTTAATCTTCATCTGATCAAGATTAATAGTTGACAGATTAATTGGATTACCTTTGTTTGGGATTATCCAGAAATTGGTCCCATTATTTAAACATTGGTCACATTTTTTTGTTGGAACAAATCAAATTAATAAATTGTTCAAGATCAAAGGTATGTTAAGGATAATCCAGCAGAGATTATCTCTCACTCTATTTATAAACAGGATTAACAAATTGTTCACTTTAATTGTGAAAAATTTGCTGTTCTTTTTTTACCTCGTTGTCAAAATGGTTTTTGAATTTTCAATGGGTCATAATGACCAGTGTCCAGTTCCAAGTAATATGTAATATTTAGACTCTTGAGCGATAAAAACAGTTCAATAGTGACCACAACAACAAATTCCAAGGTCAAGGGTGAAATGGACAACCGATATAAGTGAGAAAAAGTTTACTTCGAGTTATAAGATGGACCTCGAAAGTGGAAAAATCCAACGTCAAGGGCTTAATCCTCAGCTATCGATATCAATGGTATTATTATTATGGAAATTGTGGTTTACCTGTGGAAGAAAAAAAAATGAACAGCACCCGAAGGTCATGATGGATGAATAGAGAAAGAAAGACGACATTTCGTCAATTGAGATAACATTACAATCGGCAATGGGATTTGCGCTTTTTTGGAACCAACTGAAAACCGCTCGGCCTTATCATCGGATTATTAGCATTTCTTTATTGGAAAAAAGGATGAAAAGAAAGTTTAAAAAGTTTTCTCTTTGTTTCGAACTTTTAAATCTCTTTCTTTTCTTTCTTTCTTTCATCCAATTCTACATAATATTATCCTTATATATTATCATCGACTTATTCACATAGAATTTCCCTATTATCATATATAAACCCCTCTCTTTGTATATAATAATTTATCCAACAATATTATTATCATCATTATCCAGTGTTTCCATTAACAATTCAATCGAGGATTAACCAATTGATTGGGAATCAATTCTAATAATCAAATGATCAATCCAAGGATTGATCATCAGCTTGTGGATTGATAACAAAAACATGAAACAATTTAATCAAATTACTAATTAGTAAAATGATTCAATAATATCATAGATTAATATTACTGAAAGTAAATTAGTTTAGATTAGTTGGTAAATCGCCATCGATAAACTTTAAAATATTATCCTAATCTCTGAATGGGAGGTAAATTGGTTTCGTTGGATCCAATTTAAGTTAATTGAAATGCTCTAGGGATCATCATCATCTCTCCGAAACGCTAATTTAGTTGATAATCTGTATTATAAAGAAGAAGAAGAAAAAAAAATATATAATTAGTTGTAAATTAAATTGTAATCAAGGTTTTTAGAAAGAGTTGACAATAGGATAGATGGACAAGTAAACAAACAACAATAAAGACTTAATCATAATATATAACAAGCAACCGTATAATGTTAAGGTAAACAGATTAAATTATTTGGTTCCTATTATTTGGCAAGTATATAATTTACTGTGAACAACAGTGGGTTTAGTGAGAGAGAGAGAGAGAGAGAATCCAAAGTAATAATTTATCAATGGATTAAGAAAATCGATTTTCTCTCGATATCGGATAAAGATTAACCTAAAGAAGAGATTGAAAGAGGAGGAAATTTCAATTGTAAAGAAAGAGGAGGAGGATAAGGAGGAGAGGAGAAAAAAATGATTACTAAATTGTCGATGATACTGTAGACTAATATTTTCAGGCGGATTGTTGTGGTTTTTCAATCCAATTGTTTCCATCGACGTCTTCATCATCAAGGCTTAAAATACAATAGAAAAGGCGGAGGTCAAAATGTTTACTTGGAATTAGGATTGGTGAGGTTCATGGAAATATTGGAAAAAGAAGAGAGATGATAATACAAGTTAGAATTGGAGAGATTTAGCCATTGGGTAAGAGAGTATTATCGAAATGAAAGAGCATCTGGATTAGTGTGAAGAGAGAGATAGAAAGAGAAAGAGAGACAGTGGGGTGGAACTCAGCGGGTACAATCTCCGGAAGAAAATGTTGCAGCTCTAAGGATTTATATCTATTAGCCGATAGGCTTCTTATCGGTAGTCCTTTAGTCCTTTTTCACCTTCCAGTGTATGAGAGAAAATCTAATAACAATCAAAGAGAGAGAGAGAGAGAGAATCCATATTAAGCATATGATTAAAGTGAAATTATGTATTTCTTTCTGTTGATTATTCAATTTCTTCCTCATCATCAACAATAATCATCATCATTATCCCATTTAACAAAAAGGTACAAAGTTGTTGATAAAACTGTATTTAACTCTGATTCTTTAACTGATTGTTAAGTATCAATTGGTGAATCTGATTAAATGGATTTATGGTGACAAAATGATGGATAAATTGACTATTAATATGGTTGCCGATTAGTGAACAAACCGATGAAAGAAGAGAAAGAGAGAGAATGATGATAATGATGATGATGAGGGAAAATACATATCAGAAACAGAAATGATGCTCACATGGAAAGAGTTAACTGCTTCCGGTGATGATGATTAAAATTCTAATCTAATAACTTATACGGTCTAAATGATTTTTAATTTAAATCTAAAAATCTAAAGCTCTTCAACACATATTAAATCAACCATATAAACAGTTGATCTGTTATTGTTGTTATTATAATTGAGCATTTAGCTGCTGGTTTTGTCATCTCTTTCGTCGTCATCTCATCATTTCATCACCAACTATTATCATCCTTGTCATCTCTCTCTCTCTCTCGCTTTGTTATTTATGAAATTAATACATTCTTATGGAGGAGTTGAACAATGGGGATGCCGAGTGAGTCTATCAACCAATTTAATATCGTAAAAGGCAAGAGAGAGAGAGAGAGAACGGAATAGATTGTATTTTCTTCTCAATTTTTTCTCTTCTTCTTGATTGTTGTTGATTGTTTGTGGATCAAGGCTTAAATCCCCTTGCAAAACCAAAGCGAAAACCAACTTTTAATCCTCTTAAGTTGACCTGAAAAATAATAGCATCAAAAGTAAGTTATTAACTGATGAAAAGACGGTTACACCGACCACCAAGGATTGATTATTATATTGGTCGATAGTGAAAAGAAAACCACAATTTACTATTAGTACACCAACTAATCATAATATGACTATTTACTAGTGCTAATAATGATTATGATGATGATGATAATCGAAAAAGGTGAATAGGAAAAGAATTAAATCTCAGCTCCCTCTCTCGTTCTCTGTATAATCTTAAGCTTGAAAAGTCGCATCCATATGTTGAAGTGGTTGTTATACTTCAGATCAGTTAACTTGTATCTCCGTTATTCACCTTAATCACAACTAATCATCCTAAATAATGAAAAGTAATCATAATAAGCAAATGATGATAATCAATAATACTTTTGTAATGATATCCTCGCATCTTGACTTGATCCAATTTACGAACAATTTCAAGCCTATTCAAACGAAACATGTTCCTTTTCTTTCCTTAAACATATCGATTTCGTCCTTATTGTCAAGTCCAACAAGAGAAGAAGAAAACAATCAAAGGCCATTCCAATTTCCAAATACATTGTATTTCCAAAGGAAAACTTTTTTCGCCCGAAAAACGTGAACGCGAACTTATTGTGATCGAAAGGCCATTTTTCGATTTCGATTAAAAGTACCTAAAGATATAAAGAAATAAATAAAGTAGCAATTAGGATGATTACTAAGTCGATGTTTGTTTAATTATCGAGTTTTTTTTGTTAACTAAGAAAATGATAGTTGGCGAAACTTTAAGCTTTCGAATTAGCTGGAAAAAGCTATTGGACTTTGATTGTCGCTAAAAGTACTGATCTAATTGACGCTTTTACGAAACTAATAAATATTGACTTCGTCGGCGTAAATTAACTAATTATGTTTAACTTTCCCTTTGACTTAGATTAATGTATCTACTTTTTTAAAATGTTAATTTCCATGCATGTATGATAAGTTTGTCTATGTAAATTAAGCTCTTAAAATGGAATTTTTTTCAGTCATTTTAAATTACAATAAGACCAACGATTATCTAATTAATTCTAATTGTGACCCTCTATTAACTAGTTCTTCATTAACAGTTGATGAATTTGCTGATGAATTTTTTCCTAAATTAGAAAACAGTGATTTACCTTGTGACGAAATTAACTATCAATCGTTGAATGTAATTGAAGAACCTTATGAATCCTTATTATCACAATTAAATCCAGTTGATTTGTCACCTAATCCATATATTGCTGATGATCCAGTGTTGGAACAGCGAATCACAATTAACCGAGAAAATGACCAACAATATATTTGTTATCCCAATTCAAATGGTTATAAATATGAAGAAGACAATGATAATGATGACGACGATGACTATCCAAATGATCAGTTGATTATTGATTGTCTTCTAGAGGATTCTTGTGATATTGGTGATCTATGTGATCTTGATGATGCTAATAAGCCACAAAAGGAAGATGATGATGATCAAAAATGGTAAACACCACAGGTAATACAAGTGACAGTGGATATTTTCATGATGGTGATGGAGGAAAGAGTGACTCTTTTGAGATGAGAATTGACCAAATGGACATCAATGATCATCACGAAATTGATGATAAACAAGACATCCAGTTACAATTAGCTGATAATATCGGTAATCAAGGTATTGATAATAATGATTATTTGATTGGTTCCAAATCGGGAGAGAAGGAAAATGAAGCACCAAATGTATATAAAGGTTACAATTTAACTCAATATATTCCTAACAATCAATTGGTTCCAATTGAATTTCCAACTGGTATGGATACATTTAAACGCGAATCAAATCAAGAAATAGCCATTAACACACAAGAATCACCAACGTTTAACCATCAGCAAAACAATAATATCAGTGTAACTGGACATTTGACCTGTGCTTTGGTAGCATATCAATCAAGCTTTACTCATCTTCCAAATGAACACTCATCAATATCTTCACCAATTGTATCGTCCTCATCGTCCTCATCTTCATCTTCATCAATGATAACCTGTTGCCGTAAACATGAAAAATATTATAGAAAATTATTAAATCGTAAAACTGATCGGCCGATTAGGGAGAGAATGCTAGTAGTTCAATATCTGTACATACCTTTGGACAATCGGACCGGAAGCTATTTGAAGCCTAAATTTAGTCACAATATCCTTTGCGCTTTTGCAATTCTTTGTGGATCCGATGAGGACATGATGATCGAGGTATCGGGAATCTATCGATTCCTATGGTAAGTCCACTTGTCCATCAGGTCAACAGTCAACCAATTAACCAATTTCTCTCTCCTATAAAACAGTAAATGTTTCCCATACTTTGAAACAGCAGAGTTACATTGGAAAAACTCATTACGACATAGCTTGACCACAAGCAGTTGGTTCAACAAGACTCAAGTTCACCGGACAGCGATGAAAGGATATAAATGGACAATCAATTGGGAGCAGAAGACATGTTTAGCTTGGGAGATTAGTAAACAGTGTGTTAAAGATGTCACCAGTTTATACCACTGCCTATCAGGCCCAGGTAAGAATTCAAAACAATTGAATTGTAATCAAAAAGAACAAAAAAAAACTCTTAGAGTTTTAATCCTTTCACTTTGTTTTTCGTATTCTTTTTGTACAATTGCAGGAGTTTGTGAGGATCTAATCAGAGTTGGACTTTTGGATGTTGATCAAGTTAAATTAAATCTATTGCGATCATATCGAGTTAATTAAATTGGAATACAATTAAATTAAACAACAACAATAACAACAATTAAGAGACAATCAAAACAATAACATCTCGATACTTACAGCGACATCTATTGGTCGATCTTGGCGAATTTAAATTAATTTTTTTTCTTTTCCACAATTTTTATTAATTATCTTAAATTTAATCTAATTTACGTTAATAGTTTAACTACTTCTTTGTAAATTAAGGTTGATACTACATTCTAATCTGTTAATTGTTGAACATTACATATTTATATTTCTGTTTTCTTTTATTCTTATATCAAATATTAATATTAATCTAATTGAATTAAAATCTAATTTAATTGATCAAAAATGAAACGAGATTTTCATTTACAATCTATAAATTGTTATCTCTATCTTAATGTTGTAAAATTAAAACCTTAAATTGTTCAATTATATGATATCATCGATTAGGTTGAATTTATCTTCATATGGAATCTTGAATTTATCAATAACCGAATCAATTTTGATTGGGAAAATATAATGAGAATTAAGTTTTATTCAAGGTTAATTGTTACAACTGTAAACAAGTGAAGGATGAACAATTAATATCATAATTATTATTATTATGAGAGATGAAGGAAAGTTAATCATTGCGGTTAATCAATGAATATAAATGGAAACACCAAGTTAGGTTTCTAATTGTAAACTCGTTGTTAATTGTTTGGAAGAATTAACTTTTTTCATGGTTTAACAATTTGACAGAAATTAATTTCCATTGATTCCAAATGATTAAGAGCTTTAATTTGATGCCTACTCGCAAATTTCGTGTATCCTTGGAAACGAAGGGTAACAATTTAAGGCCAATTGTGAATCAACACCTACGATACTTTAATTGTGTTCTAAATTGTTTCTCATTGTTTCTCCTTTTAGTTGATGATTAAAAAAGTATTTCAAATGATTGTAACTGTTTCATTACAATTCAATGTTTGATTAGTGAACATGTTACAACAATTAACTGTGCTAACGATTTTGATTAACTGTCTACTAGTCTCAAGTCAGGTAAGTTCATTGATTAATATTCATCATGAAAATCAATAAAATCTTAAAATGATCAGCCCAATTGTCAACAATTAGAAAAGTTTTAATTTCTCTGGTCCATCAGTTATCATGATCATCTAAATTTGATTGTAATTGTGTTTAACTCAATTTTCTGTTTGGTAATTGTGTTAATAGCGCTCTGGAAATCCATGGGAATTTTTTCGAGTTGGTCCTGACCTGAGGTCAGAATCTTCAGATTATCCTCATCACAGTCACGTTGGTTACCATTTTCCGCGATCAGCTGAGTTGAAATCTTCCGCCTACACAAACAATGACCATGATTCTCATGACGATGATGAACCTGATCAACATTTACATCATCATCGGGAGACTCACAATAAGTTAATTGATGATCACAGCCATGGACACGGCGATTACCATGAGCCTGGAAAAGCTCCCGCTGGTTATCCTTCATCCGATTTCGTTAAATACTTTGCCAAATATACTTCGTCCGGTGGTAAACCAAAATCGGCTCCACATTCATATTATTCAGCTTATTCTGGTCATGTTCATAATTTCAACTTCGAACCTGAAAACGCTGTTCCAAGGTCACAGAAATTGGTCCAAACCAAAACCGATCCATTTGCTTCTCATCGTAATTTTATCGCCTCTGGTCCTGGTTATTTGTATCGAGCCGATACTGGACATCATACAAGTCCAACGGGCGAAGGTCCATTGAATGGCTTCTATTATGGTCCATCAACTAATCGAGCTAAACTTTACATCGGTGATCGGCCATTTTACTTTTAAACATCAAATTCACATCTATTTTTTGGACGATATTTTTAACTTTTGTCACTTTTCAATTGTTTACGAAGTTTGAAATTTAACAACATACAAATTTCTTGGCAATCATTTAGTTTTCACGATAAAATTATTCATAGAGTAAATTTAGATAACATCAAACTTAAAATAACCTAATAATAAAGATATTATCAGTTTTGTTACAATAAAATTACAATTTAATGTATAACTAATGAAAATAGAAACATAAATCTTTTTTTCTCGATATAGTTGAAGTTAAAGAGATAACAGTTGATAATATAAGTTGATTAACGGGGAATTTGATAGGTAGGAGAAAAGCAATTATCGTTTAGAATGGTAGCCATGATCTAAGCTTTTCTGTCCATGTTTTCGGCTTATTGTCGTTTGGCGTGTCCTCAATAGCTTGAACTTCAATTGTTGAAGATGTTGGTGGCATTATTTGATTGTTGCCTTTGAACCAGGAAGGTTTAGAGAAGCCTGATTTCCACATAGAGTCAAATTGTGATAAATCTTTTTCTTCCATGTTGTAAAGATCTTCTTCAATCTCTTGTTCACCATTAGCGTCAGCTTTTGATGTAACGGTGTAAGATTTGTCTCCTAATTTTCTGGTATGAGATTCAATTCGTCTTCCACTTGAGTCGGTTTCAATTCTTCTTGTCTCAATTTTCTGTGTCATTTTGGTAAAATTAATTGTGTTTGTATAAGGGAAATATCAAAAGAAAAATAAAGAAATTATTAGAAAATCAAGAAAACAATCAATGAGATCGTGTGTAGGCAAAAATATTCAAGGATAAGTTATAAATATTACAACGAGAGAGAGAGAGAGAGAGGAAAAATTTAAATGTAAATAAACATTTTACTTACATCACCATTGATGACAGAGCTAAACTGTTTCACCTGATAGAAGGATTTAAATGGCTGATTGGGTTGTTGGTTAATTTGATGTTCACCAGAGAAAGAGGGTATTCCAAAAGGATCCATTACCCTTTGGTCAGAATTATATTGGACTAGCGAAGAGCCTCTTGATTGAGCAGCTGATGGTTCCAAGAAATCATCACGAAGAGAACGATTATTATTTTGAAATGATGGTCCAGTTATCATTGGAAAATTAGGAGAATCAAAAGGGTCACCCGAAGAAGAGAAACCACCAGGATGATGTAAACCAACAAATCCACCAAATCCACCACCTCCAGGCCCAGAAAAAGGTGAACCTAAATCAAGAAATCCATCCAAACGATTAAGTGTACGCATCATATTGTCAACATGACGAAAAATATCATCATCCATCATGATTGGAAAAACAAATCACCACAATGTATCACCACAAACAATTGACAAAGAATATTAAGTAAATCGTAAACGTGGAAAACTAAACAAAATATAAAATGATTCACCTCAACAATTAACCAAATGTTTTTCTAAATAAAAACATCAACTGTTAATCAAATTCAAGAAACTTCGAGAAAATTTTTCATTCAACTTGAATGATGCGAATCGAAAATGAGTATGAGCTCCTCTTTGCGGAGAAAAAACTAACTTTCAATTTTTGGCGCGAGTTTTAAGTAAAGTCATTCGACTTACAGATCAACCAATTTCTCTGATGAAAATTACATGAGTGGATTGATAATTGAAATTTATCGGGATTTCTCATTTAGAGTGGTGATTAGATAATTTAGAGAAAATATTAGCTCGATTGTGAGAAATTAATTTAATGATTTAGACGAAATCATTTAGTTAATAGAATAGAATTTTGTGGCTCCATCTGGTGGCGCCGAAAAAGAGGTTAATCATTTCATGTTTACATTTCTTTGCTCGAGATTTTCAATTAAAAGATTTTTTCAATTCGTTTAATTGTTGACAAATTTTCTGTGAATTTTGTTTTCGGTTTTTGTTTTGTATTTGCTTTATTGTCTCTTTTTGTTTTCTAATTATTTCTAAAGATGGGTGTTCGAAGTTATGAGGAAGAATGTTCTTTTCTGGAGAAAATTGAACCACACACTTGGAAGATTAAAAAAAATTTCGTCCCAAACATGAATGTTGAAGGTATTTTTTTCGTGAATGAAAATCTTGAGAAATTAATGTTTGATGAGCTGCGAAATGCTTGTCGTCCAGGTAGTATTGGTGGTTTTCTACCTGCTGTTAAACAAATTGGTAATGTAGCTGCTTTACCAGGTATTGTTAAAGGGTCAATTGGATTACCTGATGTTCATTCTGGTTATGGTTTTGCCATTGGTAATATGGCTGCTTTTGATCTTGACGATCCTAAAGCGATTGTATCTCCCGGTGGTGTTGGTTTTGATATAAATTGTGGTGTACGTTTGGTTCGTACTAATCTAATGGAGAAAGATGTTCAACCTTTAAAGGAAAAAATTGCCCAAAGTATGTTTGATCACATACCTGTTGGCGTTGGTTCTAAAGGTATCATTCCAATGAATGCTCGTGACTTGGAGGAAGCACTTGAAATGGGAATGGACTGGTCACTTCGAGAAGGTTATGCTTGGGCTGAAGACAAGGAACATTGTGAAGAATATGGTAGAATGTTAAATGCTGATCCTGCTAAAGTTTCACCCAAAGCTAAGAAACGAGGTTTACCCCAACTTGGAACTCTTGGTGCTGGTAATCACTACGCAGAGATTCAAGTGGTCGAAGAGATATTTGACTCTCGAAACGCAGCTAAAATGGGAATTGAGACAACAGGTCAAGTTTGCGTTATGATTCACAGTGGATCTCGTGGATTTGGTCATCAGGTTGCTACCGATGCTCTTCTAGCTATGGAAAAGGCAATGAAAAGAGATACAATTGAAGTAAATGATAGGCAACTCGCCTGTGCCTACATTAAAAGTCAAGAAGGTCAAGATTATCTGAAATCAATGGCTGCCGCTGCCAATTTTGCTTGGGTCAATCGAAGCTCAATGACATTTTTAACTCGACAAGCATTTGCTAAAACCTTTAACTCAACACCCGATGATCTTGATATGCAAGTGATTTATGATGTTTCTCATAATATCGCTAAAACGGAGAGACACATGGTAGATGGTAAAGAGAAAACTCTTCTCGTCCATCGTAAAGGTTCAACTCGAGCTTTTCCACCTCATCATCCACTTATTCCAGTTGACTATCAATTAACCGGACAACCAGTTCTTATTGGTGGTACCATGGGAACTTGTTCATATGTTTTAACAGGAACGGAAAAAGGAATGTCCAAAACTTTTGGGACAACATGTCACGGAGCGGGTCGAGCTTTATCCAGAGCAAAATCGAGGCGAGAACTGTCCTATCAAGATGTACTTGATAAACTTGCCTCACAAGGAATATCAATTCGTGTTGCATCACCTAAACTCGTGATGGAGGAAGCACCAGAATCTTATAAAAATGTAACCGATGTCGTGGATACTTGTCATGCCGTTGGAATTAGTGCCAAATGTTTCAAATTAAGGCCAATCGCTGTGATTAAAGGATAACCCGATAAAATGCCGAATCATTTGAACCTCAGAGAGTGACATTAAAGTGATGAAAAAGAAAACAATTAATTATAAATTGAATTTGTTTTTCTTTTCTGTCTATAAGACAAACTTGTAAATTTCTATAACGAAATTATTGTTCCATAAATTTTGACCACTCACAAAGACGAAAACGCTGTTGACAAATTTTCGTTCAAATCGATCTCCTATCATTTGCTGCTAATCAACAATCAACTAATTATCAATTAAGCGTTTCTTAAATAACTTCTCTCTCTCTCTCCCTTTCCCCGCGACGGATCTACGGCAAAACCAGTTTTCTACTATTTGTATTAATCTAAATTAACTGATTGTTGTGAATAATTAATTTAACCAATTCGATGCCTCCTATTGTGATCTACATCAATGGAAAGAGTAAACAACATGAAGATCTTTAACCTTTTGATGGCAAAAGAATCAACAATGATTAATAAAGGAGGAAAAAACTAAAGAGGAGGTGGATTACAATTAGTAATTGTTATTCCGGGGAAATTAATTACATGACAAAGTGAAATCACTTATCGGTAGATTGATTACAATTAATTCTTCCAGTTAAAACAAAGAGAAAATTTATTTTATTATAATTGAAACTCTCTCCATATGGAATCTCACAGTTTCAACAGGATGGAAAGAGAATTAAATTATTCAACAATTAAGGAAACCAACAATCAACCTGAACTCTCTTAGTCCATCTAAATTGAAAGCTTCTCACAATCAAATCAATAATCAAAACTGTTGATTAACAAGAAAAATGAATAATATCAATAATCTTGGATCAACAATTGTTACAATCAACCAAGGAAATACTGATTGGAAATCGTAATTGTAATAATATCAATCCCGATGATTAACGAAAAGATCATAATCTAACCTGATAATCTCAGAAAATTACTATGCAGATAATCAACTGATTGTAATGAATTAACTAACATTTTTGTGGGTCCCATTGACAGAAACAACAACAAAATGATAATTAAGGAAACAGAAACAATTTACAACAATATAACCACAACAATTTAACAGAAACAGAGCTTTGATTTAATGTGACTTGATACATTTATCACCCAAAAAAGTTTGCCTGTTTTTCATTATTTACAATGTTAATTATTGAGTTAATTCAGTTCCAATCATAACTGTACAATTTTACAATTTATTCTGTTTTTTTTTCTCTCCTCATCATTACAAGGCAATTTTGCCTCCTCACACTAATCTTCATGATGATGATGATTGGAAATTCAAACAAAAAATCCACAATCTATTTGATTTATTTGATTGATAAACTTATCCTGAAAAAAAAATCAAACCATCCACTTAATTAACCATTTAAAATAGAAATGAAAACTTCACTCAATTGAAGTAAATTAACTCACAAAAAGTAATGTGATCGCCCAATTAACGTTACAATTTGTTTCCATTGGCATTTATTCAATGGATCCAATTGTTATTTATACGATTTACAATCACTATTGATTATCGTCTGAAAACAATAATAATAACAACAATTAACATAAAATATTGGTTATCCAATAACAGAAATCAACTCGATTAACTTAATATCATTTTGACCACAACAACAATTAGCATATTTACCAAGCAATTTAAATCTCTCTCATTGTAATTAAAGTGCAATTGATTAAATTGATCTCTCATAATATTTATTTGTAAATTGGTTAAGTTTTTTTTTTAATTTTCTTGTTATGATTAGTAAATTGTTGCAAATCAAATGTTTTAATAATATTTGAAACATTGAGAAAATCATTAAGACAAATGTAAACAAAGAGCAAAGTTAAATTGGTTAACTAATTATTTTCTAGCTTTTCTTTTTACAATTAAGTGGCAATTAACTATTTTACTACCAGTTAATTGTATTGAAGAGTAATTTACCTTATAGAGTAAAAATTGTTAATTACAATTAAGAAAAAATTTGATTGTTCCAACCAAAAGTAGAAAAAAATCTATTGATCAATTTTTACGTTTTTCTAATCAATCAAAGGAAGAGAAATTTTTACAAATCATTTACTATCTATTAGTTGTTATCTCTGAATAATTAAAGTTAATTAAAAGTTAATTTGATTAAAGAAACAAGAGAAAAATAAATCATAATTAACGCGTAAATAAAGTCATTATCATTAAGGAAACAAAAGGTAAACAGAAAATTTTTTTTTCTTTTTCCATTCAAATTAAATTCTGGTAATTTTTTCATGTTGATGAAAAATTAGATTAACATGATGATGATGATAATTATAATGATGGTCAGTCTGTTGATGGTCAACAATTTGTCAGCAATTTATCAACATAAAAATGATATTTTGTTCACTTTTGTATGTGTCAAGATGAAGCCATCGACTTGATTGTAATGCTAATAAGTAGTGACCGGTAATTACAATTAATTAATTGTAATAATAATACACACACACACTCACATTTGATTACATTTTTACATTACAAAGGTGACAAATGAACAGACTCACACAATGATCAGTTGATTATAATCATCAAGTTAATCACAACAATGTGAAACTTTCAAGTAAAGAAAACCGTTTTTCTTGTCATTTCCGATGGGAAAACATATTCACTTGACCAGAGTCCAGTTACCGGACATGAAAGATGAAAAGAAATGTATGAAAAAGCATTTTGAATGAAGGAGAAAAAAAAATGGCCGATGAAATGATTATGAAAGAGTTACTATTTCCATCGCATGGGAACTTGAACTTTTTTCAATGTAAACAGAAAACAAGAATTAGTTACAATAATGAAGTAATAATAATATGAAATTTTCGGACAAAAGCCTCCCGATGACCATTGTACTGACCTTCATCGTCAGTATCTTCATCTTTATCACCTTTATCACCGTTTTCCAAGCCCCGGCGGGTAAACCTCCTTCTCATCGGTGAGACTACCATGAATCTCTTGTACATGATAATGAATATCAATCTACAGGTAGGAAGAAATTTATAGAATAAGAGAAGTTTTTTTCTTCTTCTTTCTCTCCTCTCTCTCTCTCTCGGTGTCTCTTTCATCATCATCATCATCATCATCATCTTCCGACGTGAGTTGAAGATGAATATTGAAAATTTGAAACTTTGAGACCCAAAAAAAGGCTCATTTTTTGATGATGACCATTAGCATGATAATGGGCATCATCATGGAGATAATTGTAAATGGTCAAAAGTATCTGAGAAAACATGAGAATATAAAAACTGACCATTATCATCCTCTCATCTTCATCATCATAATCATCACAAGATGAAATGATATGAAAAAAATAGTAAAATTTATGAATATAATTTACCTTTGATTAGGGAAAAAAAGTTTCTTGGTTTTTTTTTCACTTTTTTAGATGTAAAAAAGTTAATTGTGTTAACAATTATCTTTAATCACAATCTAAATTGTGATGATGATGAAAAATGATGCTAATTAAGTTAATCATTGTAATTTAAGCATCAAACTATTTAGTATTAGTAAGTTACATGTTAATAATAATACTTTTTTTTAAAAAGTTAATTTCTTTTATCAACTAAATTACTTACAATTTATTCACACATCGTGAGCAATTTAAATCACAATCAAGGTTAATCAGTAACTATAAAGGTAATCTTCATATTCATCACCTTTTTTTATCATCAAATCTTAAAGGTAAAAAAAACTGTATCAATTGTGTCAACAGCTAAATTATTGGTTATCATTTTTGTAAAGTTACTTTGATAATAATAATGATCATCATTTTGAAGATGATGATGAGGATGAAGATGATCGAGATGATGTAAACATAGAGATGAATTTAATATTTATCTTTTAGTTACATAACGGGAATCGGCAGATGGAAAATGACCTTAGAATCAAAGTTTCCTATTCGATGAGAAGATCGAAAACCGATCATCCTCATCTTCTTATCTTTTTCTTGAGGTAATCTCTCTCTCTCTCTCTCTCCATCATCTCCATCATCTTCTTCCTCCTTCTGATCATCTTCATCTTCTTCCTCCTTCATCCCTCACACTAAACATATGGTTGATGTTATTTTTTCTTATACAAGCAAAAAATCATTCATGAAATGATGATGATGCGATGTCAATGATGATAAGGAAGATGAAGATGATAATAGTAATGATAATGATGATTATCATCAAAATGATCGTCACTTCAAAAAATCACCTTTGTAAAGATGTGATAGGTTAAATTTTTTATCCAAAGTTCAAAACAAACTGTTGATTTTTTTTTCGAATTTTTTCTTCCTCATCTTCTCTTATTATTACAACAATTAGGGTGTAAATTTATCTTCTTCATCTTCTTCCTCCATCACCCACCCAACCTATCAGTCTACCCACCGCCTCCACCCTCAACTCACCTTGATCCTCAATCCTCAAAATTAACCACAACAGCAAAAACCTAATCAATAGGAAACAATTTACTTAATTGTTGTAATAACTTCTTAACAATCACCATCTTTAACCTTAATTAACTCAAGATTGATGCAGTTGCTTAATTATTTAATCATAGGACTGTTTCAATCAAGTTAATCACTTAATTATGTTGAAAAATAAAATTGTCACAACAATTTTTGAGCTTAATTATTAACAATTAAACAACAGAAAACCTTGATTGTAAAGCCATGAGATGAATGAGCATAATTTGTATCATCAAGTTCCCGAAAAAAAAAATGATCAACAATTATGATAATACTTAATTGTTAATCATAGCAAAATATATAACTAAATTGTGTTATTTTGATTATCAAGCTTTTCTTTTGGGGCTCATAATTAACTTATATAAATTAAGCTCTCTAATTAGAGTTGATTAAATTGCTGGAATGTTAATTAAAAACTTTTCTCATTGTTTTGCCAAATTCAACAATAAACCACAACCACAATTGTAAAAACAATAAAAAAACGAGTCCACTAATTGTTAATATCTTATCAATGGAAAAGCAAAACAAAAAACTCTCACTGAATCAACAGCAATTAAATACAATGTAAATATCGTAATACCAAAGCAATCGGCTAATTGTTGACCGTTGATTACTGATTAACAACACTGTTAACAAGGAGGCATCGTAATTATCATCTTGTTTACTGATGATTCTCATGTAAATTGATATGAATTTGTGAGTAAAAAACTGCAATGATGATGATAATCACGAAGATGATAATATGATGTTTTTTTGCTTCTTTTTCCAGTTAAAAGCCATTAATGAGTAAGAAGAAAAGAAAGATGAAGATCATTATCATCATCATCATCATCATCAACAACAACAACAACAGGATTCAGTGTGTTTACCATCATTATCATCATTAAGTTAATCATATTTCTTGTAATGCGATCAAAAATTAACTCCACAATTTAAATTGTTACGAAGCCTTGGAAGCCTTTATATCATCAAGATTAGAGAGAAACAGTCAATTTCCTCTTTCTTTTCTTAATCCATAACATTTTCATCTTCTTTTCATCATCATCATCTTAATCATCTAATAAGAAGAGAGAAAAAATCAACAACAATCAATTGAATATCATATTTAATTGTAATCATGATCCTCTACCTTTCATATTGATGATCTAATCTAATATCTACTTATTATTATTAATATTTTCTTCCCTTAATCTTCATCTTCTTATGGTTTTTTTTAATATTCTTTTCCATCACAATTAACCATCTTCTCATCATCATTAACATCACTAATAACTAATCATCGAGTATCATCAAAAATTTTAATTACAATTAACTAAATCATCAATAAAAACAATAGGAAACTTTGTATAGACACAGAAAAAGTTTATGAGAAAAAAAAAGTTTTGGAAACTTTTTTTTTCCTCTTATTATTATTGTTATTTTAACAACTGAATTAATTAAATTGTGGAGATAATTTTTTTCTCTAGCCAATTCCGTGGGAGAAAATTAGGAAAATGATTAAATTGATTGTTTTAGTGTTTAGATGATAATTTAATTAGAATTAGGAACAAAAATAATATTATTATCAACAATCAAATCATTTCCATTTCCCAGTCAACTAATCACTTGATTTAAACTCAAGACTTTTTTTTCATCTTTGCGATTGATTTAACTTGATTGTGGCTATTAGTTGATTGTTTCAAATTTATTTGACATTAATTGTGGGTTAATTATTGGTATGGTCATCCTAATCATTTGAAATCATAATTAGCGGCGTTGCTAATTTAGAGTGATGTTTAGGGAAGTTAATTAAAAGTTTAAACATTATTTTAACGTAAAAAATTTTTCCAAACAATAATCATCAAATTACTAACACTTATTATTAAGTTAATTGTAATTATATCATCTTTCCAATATTTCCTCGTTAATCATGATTAAATTGTGAATTTTATCATGATTAAATTTAACTAAAAGTGCAAAAATATCAACAACAATCAATGGTGAAAGATGATTAGTTTAACGTTCAAATTAACTTTTGGTTAATTTGATTGAGTTTTTTTATCTGCTACTCAAGTTGATTCAGTAAAAAAACAATCAAATTAATTGCCTGTGTTAATTACTGTTGATTAATAACAATCAGAGTCAATTATTGGTTTTTTTTTCTCATTCTGATGATTATCATTTAAAATTAAATCGTTATTAAATCAACCATTAAAATCAAATGCGTTGATTAATAAATTATTGGTTTCGCTTGATGATGATGACGATGATTCATCTTAATTAGCAACAATTAAATTTAATAAAAATTCAAATGGACCATCACCTTTTACTGACACCCAAATATTAACTAATCTAAATTAACTAATTGTTGTGGAAATGATTTAATTTAATTTAACAATCAAAGATTTTCGTGAGTTGATTCAATAAATTTTTAAAACTTTTTTTTTCCAACCAAATTTGATGATTGTTTCAAGTTAATTGTTAGTAAATTTCTCGTTACAATTAATTTAAAACGCAATCAAGTAATTTTCAAAGATGAGAGTCAACAACAAGATCAACAATCAATTAATTGGCAATAACCAATCAGAACAACAACAATCAAAAAAGATTCACAATGATTCTTGATTGTTACCTTAATTACAATAAGATCACCCTTGAAAAGGACGAAGCACCTTTAATTGTTGGTGATTAGAACACGCAATCAACAGGATCAACAAACAATTTAATTTGATTATCAACAAATCATCAGCTTATTAGGATGATAATCAATCGGATTTATCTTAATCATAATCAACTTGCTTCCTGGATTTATTATTATCAAATAGTAATGATAATAATCATCAACAACACTGGATAATCAAAAGATTATGATGATGATTACTTTCACTTTATAATCGTAAAAAAAAATGATAACAAAGATGAAGAAAGAGTAAAAAAATTGATCATCATCATCTCAAGATCTATAATTTTTGATTGCAATTTCATCATCATCAACAATTGGAATCAGGAATTGATGGTTGATGATGAATTCTGAAAGTTTTGATGAAAAAAATGAGCGAAAAAAGTTTGATGATGATAATGATGATGATTAAAGGCCCACTGATCAATCAGATGATGATGAAGATGGAGATAAGGATGAGAGATGCGGTTGACCCTCACATTATCCTCATCCCTCCCTCCATAAGATTTGACTTTTTTTTCATATAATTTTCAATGACATTGCTCCCATCACTAATGGTTATCATCACCATCATTATCTTCATCCTCATCTTTATCCTCATCTTTTAACAACAACAACAGAAAAAAACATCAAAAGGAAAATATTTGAGTTTTCGTTTCTTTTTTTTTCTTCTTCTTCATCATCAATTGTGATTATGATACAATTGATTATGAATCAGATCGGAAGCAAATTTATATACACACACACACGAATAACAATCAACTAGAATTGATTCACAAGAAATTAACTAATAACAATCAACGAAAATGATACAAGAATCATAGCTATATATTATTCAAGAATTTTCCGTTTTTTCATGATCTGAATTGAATAAGAATAAGATGAAGATAAATAGCATCTGAGAATTATCATCATCGTTATAATCAAAGTATAATTGATTCTGATCATGATAATGATAATTTGATTGTTTGAGAATAGAAAATTGGAAATAAAATTTTTCTTTTCTTTTTTTTGATAAAATTTTTTCCTTCTTCCAATTGAATAAATTGTGTTTCCTTTTCTGACACAAACATATCAAATTCAATGATCAGAGAGAGAGAGAGAGATGACACTTTTTTGGTATCATCATAATCTTCATCATGATGATGATGATAATCCACTTATCAGATTAATTTGGAAGGAAATAATCGAAGAAAAAGAGAATTGAACTTTTTTCGTTTTTTTCGTTTTTCTTTATTAATAAGATTAACATTTAATTCGCTGATTCGTAACAAACTTATCATTCGAAATCTCATTTTTTGTTTCTTCTTCAACAATCAACTAATTGTTGTTAATTGTTCATATTCAGCATCTTATCTTCCATGTGATAATAATATAATAATAATAATAATAATAATAATTTATCATTGATACAATGGTTGGGACGGTGATGGGGCTCGGTGATGGAGGTGATGGAGGTGGTGGTCTTTGGGGCTCTATGTGGACGAACCTCCTCCACCCAACTCGGGGAGTCCAAAGTTGGGTCGGGCAAAGTTGAGAGCGACATGAGGAGGTATCTCATGATTACCAAATAAAAGCGTGGCAGCCAAATTTAAAAACGATCCCAGCGGAATATTTGAATGAAGGTTTGTTACTGGAGGTGGTGGGTTACTGTTTTCGGTGAGATTAAGTCTTGGCCCAGAGGAAGGATAATAACCATCACTGATGGACTATAAATATAAGAATATACAGAAAAAATTAAGAAAAAAAAATTAACGATCATCTAATTTTCTGTTCGTGTGTTAATTATGTAAAACTTTTCAATCAACTTTTCTATTGACAAAACAATTACAAATCTATAGACTTAATCACCGTTAGATAATTTTGTTCTGTTCTTTTTGATTGTATTTTCTTGTAATTTACAACAATTAACTTTCTCCATATTTACTTGTAATACGAGACAACAATTTACTTAATGCATTCGCAAAACGATTACATTGATTTGGAAATGAATTTGCAAAATTGCGTAAAAAAAGTTTTCCAAAAATTAATTGGGAAAAAAAAGTTTCTCTTATTATTGTTTTTTCTTGCAAATTATTGGATAGAGAGAGAATTGAAATTGAGTTTTTCAATTTCCGTTTCCCTTGAGTGAAGGAGGTGATCGTTTATTAGCTTACCTCGGGTTTATTTTTAGGTGGACGTCCTCGTTTACGTTTGAATATCGGGAATCCGTCGACGGAGGTAAGTGTAGTTCCCGTTGGATATGTTTGCGTAATAGGCTGAGATAAACCAGAAGCAGGTCGTTCCGAGGCATTGGAAGGTGCTGATGAGGCTGCAGAGGAAGCCTCATTTTCTGGACCTGGGTCATTTGAGGCCATTAAAATTTGCTGCTCTTCGTGCAATTTATAATGATCTAGACGTTTAAAGTTGGTATCATTCATGTCTATCACAAAATTACATCCATACTGGTTAAATGATAACATAAACACCATGGTACATGAAACGAGAGAGAGAGAGAGAGCAAACAAAATGATGATAATGATGATGAAGAAATGAAAATGAATGATAATAAAGGTGAAATAAAATAAAATAATGAAACAAAATGTTTAGACAATATTATCATCATGAAGCAACAAACAACAACAATAACAAGAAAGTATAATAATCATCATCATTATAACAATTACTGCAAACTTGATGTAATAAAAAAGTAACAACTAAAAGGCCTTAGGATAAATGATTTACAATCATCATCATCATCCACTACCTTGTTGAAAGATTATCTCATTTTCAGGTAAAAGAATCTTGAACAAGATGATAATCATCATCTTCTCATCATCATCAACAACCACAACTTTTATTATGTTGATTTTTTTTTCTCTCCATCATTTACCTGAGTAAATAATATCATTAGGAATAGGATAATAATAACAAGTTATCATGATGATGATGAGATTGAAATTCAATTGAAATGGGGACCAAATGACCAATGGTCAACTCACCATTCGGCAGTGATAATGTGTCTCCTTCCTGAAGAGTGGACAATCCTCTCGACAGTTTTTACCCTCTTCGGACTCTTCGAGGAGTAATTTAGTTGCCTCTTCCTCCATTAAGTGTTCTCTGTGAACAATTAACCAATTATCAAATTAGAAACAAGAAAATTAATTTTCTAGTTAATTGTTTACTCATCACAATCAAATAATCATTTTGAACTAATTTACAAAAACTCTCAATAGTTGAAAATAGTTTCACTTTTTCAAATACTATTACCGTTAATTAGATTCAATTGGTTGATTATTGTTTTCGTATTGTTTTCAATTGATTGATTGTTTGGTGATTATAGTTTTGTTATTTTTTACAATTGTCAATCTAATTTAGTTCATAAGTGTTTTAATTAAATTGTCATGGTTAATTGTTTACACTTACTTGGCATGTTTTTGTAAATTGTCCCGAGAAACATTATTTTCACATTTATTACAATGAAAATGCTCCTTGTATTTATATGGACAATCTGGTTGGAAACATCTAGTATCTGAGTTAAATCTGATTGTTGATTTAATTGTTCAATTGATTTAGTGTGAAAAGAAAGAGATGGAAAATTAATTGATTAATTATCTAATATTGCAATTAAGGAATAATGTTATCAATAAGAAAGAGAGAGAGAGAGGAAAAGCTTTTTTTAGTGGGAAAGTTTTGATTTTCCCATCAAGCTTTTAATTGTTTCGTCAAATGATCACAATCAATTGATTGTTTTTCTTCAATCAAACTGACCACTACTCACTTGGTATATGTTTTCAGGTAAACTTGGTCCAGTATAAGTCCAATAATAGTTTCCAATGTAATACTTGAGCTATTATTTTCAATCTCAGCTGAAAGACTGGTCAGTAAATTGTTATCATGATCATGGTCAGTATCCTGATCATTATCCTCATTATCATCATGATCATTATTATTATTATTGTTATTATTATTATTATATCCATTGAGGTCATCTTCAGAGGTTCCCTTTGATTGAAACAATTAAAAATAAAAGGGTCAATATTTGATCAATAAAAACAAAAGTCGAAACTTTTATATTTCAATTTTTGGCGCGAAACAAAAATGTAAACAAAAACAATCAGCAAATCCAAACGGATTAACCGATTAATCTGAAACTTTAACTGAATTACCATCAGATAATTAACTAATAATTAATCAACTTACCTCTTCCATTGAACTAGAATTATTATCTTTAATTTGACGTAGCATTTCAGTGGCCAGTTGAAGTTTCTTCATTCCTAATTCAGATTCTTTCCGTTCATGTTTCTTTTTATGTGAATATAATTGACTCGTTGATTGAAGGACAGTATTACAACCTGAGAGAGAGAGAGAGAGATAGAGGATTGACAATTAAGAGATTAAGATAATCCAATCATCATCATTATCACAAATCACTGTTTTTATCAGTTTAACAATTTAAATCCAATTGTATGTTGATTGGTGCAGACAAAATGATCACTAAGAAGTTGAAATAAGTCTTGAAATTATGATGATAATCATCATGATCATTGTTAAGCTAATCAATTGATTTAAATGCTGTGTATTTATGCAAACATCCTGTTAGTTTAAATAGTGATTAACTTTTTAATTTTTACACCAACAATTACCACACACAATCAAATCAAAATCAATTTAGGTTAATATTTTTGTTGGCAAAAAAAAGTTTAATATTTTTCCCAATAAAATTGAATAAGATGTTAAGACGATTTCAATTGTCAACATTTATCAATATTTTGTCAACTAAACAAATCAAATCATTTCACAAACATTTGATGATTTAATCTTGATTGACACTCTGAACACAATAAACCAAACTAAATTAAATCAACAATTAAGTATTTGCAAAGCAAAATAATAATAATACAAGCAGCAGACAACAGAAAAAAACAAACTGAATTAAAGGGAAATCATATTGAAGTTTAAAAAAGTTCTGGTCTCAAATCTAAACAATATTTTCATGATTTATTATCATGAGCCTGGATTCTGAGTTGAATTCATGTTTCTTACCATGAAAATCAATGTTTTTCCTCCTATTGAATCAATCTCTTTGAGCTAATATACTGTTTACTGTTGAGTTAATTGCAATTAATTTTTGTTCATTTTCACATCAAAAACAAAATGAGATAATCATTTGAATCACCATGATTGTAAATCCCTGGGATTTACACAATCAGTTGATTTTTTTGCTTCACAAAAACCATAATTTAGGTTCAATGGTTAATCGTTATTTTCATGGGCAATAAACAGCAAAATTAACAGTCAACTGAGTTAATTTTGTAAAAACAAACAGTCAACAATTAACTAACAATCAACTACAACACCAAGTACATCATCATTATCTTCATGATAATCAAGTGAAAATAAAAATCAACCTCTAATTAGATATCAATTGAAATTAAGAGAAAACAAATCAAATTAAAAACTAAATCATTAACTAATTGTCTCTAACTAATAGATTACCATCATGTTAATTGTTAGATTGATTAATTATTTGATAATGTAAATTATTAAAGGATAATCATGACAATTAAACAAAACATTTCAATTCACTTGATTATCAAACAATTTATTTTAATTGTTGCAGTTTATAAACCTTTCCCTGGAAACAATTACAATTTTTAAATCAATTAACTTTTATTAATTTTTTTTTTTCGTATCAAAAATAAAAACAATTAAACTAAAGAGAAAGTTAATTGTTGCAATTTAACTAATAATTTACAATTCTCTGTGATTAACTTATATGATTATTATATTAATCGGAGAATTGTAATTGTTAGTAAACAATTAATTTTAATTGTGATTCTTTGAGAAAAAAAATTAACCATCAAGATAAATGAAAATATTTTTCTGTTGATTGTTATGCTTTTTTTTTCATTATTATTTACAATTAACCTTCAAATCAAATTAACAAAATCACTGGTGCTAATTGTGTGTATACAGAAACACTCTGAATCAAACTAATCATCATCATCATCAGATTATAATGATTACCTTTAAATTTTTAGGTGTGGTCACAGGTAAGAACCATGAACAGGTAAGTTTTCATTGATTAGAATGAGAAAACAAAAGGTAACAATTGAAGATGAGAAAAAAAAATCAATCTAAAAAAGGTAAGAAATTTATTTCTTCTTGATTGTGTTGATCATGATGATCGTCATGATTAACAAATCAAATCAATTATACAATGAAAAAAAAACTATGATCGTAATGGTTACCAATCAAATTAAACAAAATTATCCAGCAACAATTTGTAAATTTACAATTAAAGGTTAATCATCAATTACTATCAACAGGTAAATGATAATAATAACCAGAAATAGATTGAAACTTTTGATAAAATGTTGAAAGTTTAACCAACAATTTAGTTTGGCCAAATCAAAATGGTAAACTAAATCAAAGACAAGATAATTTGATTTACTTTCTGATTAAGGTTACGATAACAATTAACTTTAAATAAATAACAAGAAATAAGCGTTAAATATATCCCAACAATCAACAGCAATTAATCAACAACTAAATTGTTGCAATTTGTTAAGGAAGCAGCAAAAATCACACTTAATTGTTAAATCTGATTAATCAAAATTGAAGATTTTTTTTTTAAACTTAAAAACAAAGTAAACAAAAACTTTCTCAATCAATTTCAGATAATTATATTTAATTATAATCACAATTTGATTACAATTAACTAACCACACACTCACATAGACAATCACAATCAACGAGCCAAAGGTAATCAAATTAAGTGAAAGGTAAATTGTGTTAAATCAATCAGAAAATAACAAATTAACTTCCCACACAAATAATGATGAAAAACAAAAACCAATGACAATTAAATTTAGATCAGATTAATTTAAATTGTTACCAATTTGAATTGTTTTTTTTTGTTCGTTAACATGTTAACCATTAAATCAATGGAGATACCAGATCATTGTAACAATCAGCATCTCAAGTTTCCTGTTCCCACGTATATTAAACTACCACCACTGAGCTTGAAATGATAAACACAATTTACTAATTACAATGATGATAATGATATATAATCATGATGGAAAACACCAAATCAAATGAATCAGGGTGGAAATTAAGAAATTAGGAAGAAAAAGAAAAAACAATTTTCAAAGTTTCTTATTAATCGTAAACAATTAACCTGAACCATTAACATGACCATTTACATTGATTAACGTTATTTGAAAGGAGTAACTCTTAATTGTTTCACCATTAAACATGATAATCAGTTAATCATAGGGCACAATAATTACTAAATTATCGCAATTGATATAATGTGTTCACCATAAATTTAAATTAATTTGTTGTATTTGAAAAATAATGAGGAAAATGAAATGAAAAATATTCAATGGGAACAAAAAAATTCTGGATAAACCTGAATACTTTTTTTTTCAACAGGAGGATGATCATGGTGATGATGTAGTTCACCCTGGATCAACATGATGCTGATTCAATTATATAATATAATCATGATAATTATATTAAATAAGATATTTAAAAGCTTCTTAATCATCCTTGTTATGTTGACCTTTAATTACATTCACAAAATCAATGGTGATCCATGATGATGACGATGAACCTTCATGAATCAAATCTTTTTGTTTTTATCTGTTTTGTTACAAGAAACTCAGGTAATTCAAGAATTCACCATGATGATGATTAACAATTTGTAAGAAAACAAAAGGGAGAAATCAGATTGCCCAATTAGAGATTCAAGAAGATATTTTCTTACAGAAGTTCATGGGAATCCCCATGAAAATTAATTTCTTTTCTAAAGAAAATGGAAATTATTTAATTCTACAGGAACTAGTGTTCTAAATCTCTCTCTCTCTCTCTCTCTCTCTCTCTCTCTCTCTCTCCTTCATTTTCTCTGTCAGGATGATCAATGAACCAGAGATGATTAGATTGAAAAAGTTCGAGTTCTAAGAATTTTCGAGTTGGAGAAATGAAGTAAGAGAAGAAAATTTTATCATTCTAACTTGAAAAGAAAAGTAAATTCTAGGATATTCCAATTAGTAACTTGATAAGTTCTGAACAGTTTTTTTTTCCACAAAATTTCTCTGAGTTGCTCAGAACTTTTTCGAAAAACTAAGTTTTCTATAAATGAAGCAAAGAAGAAGATGAAGCAAGAAAAAAAAAGTTCTAATGCGCATTCTGAGGTAAATATAGAACTCGACTGAACCTTATTTACATAGGTGAGAATAGGAAATTATATATATGAGATGAGATTATCCTGCCCACAGGGATTATAATATATACACATGTATTTACCTCCCCTGTAGACACGATTGAAAGATTTGAAGTGTTACAGGGTGATGATCGATATAAATGGTTAAATATTGTAAACAAGTTTGAGGTTTTTGCTGTTAATCAACAATTTAAGTTGTTTATTGTTGATTGTTTGTTTATTTTCACGCTTGTTGACTTGCTGATTGAGTCACGAAAGGCTGAAGGAGGGAGAGGGTGAGAGAGGGTGTGAGGTGGGAACCTTATTTATTAACCTTTAACAGTCAATCAGTTAGGCGTTAACCTGAGTGAGCTTTTTTTTTATTATTCTGTACATCAGTTAATCCTTATTGGTGGGATTAAATCATGATAATCATCATGAAAACTCAACATGAACAAAGTTTCATGAAATAGAAACAAAAAAATCTCATTGGTGAAAAAAAAACTTCATCTTTTCATCAGCAACAATTAAAACAATACATATACAGGGTAATAGTGGAGGTGGAACTCAGGATGAAGATAAAGATGAAGATGAAGATGAAGATGATAATAATGATGATGATGATTCTTTTGATGTAAATTGTCAAAAAGTAAATAATGCTGACGATTTCATATGATGATGATAAAAAAAAATTTCTCTTCCATTTAAAATTCAATTGTAACAATCCAATTGAACTAATTTGATCTAATCTATTTCTAAACACAATATCAAATAATATTTATGATTAATTGTTGTTCCAATAGGAATCATTGAGAGTAAATTAAATTAATTTAACAACAACAATTGAAACAATTACTGAGCAGAAAAGGAAATTTATTTTCTATATAAAATTGAATAGAGTATCAATTCTGGGAGGTAATCATATTAATGGACATTTGATGGGGCGAATTTGGGAAAAGGTAACATCATCATCATCATCTTCTCAAGGCTGCAGAAAATTATTCAATCAACTGTACACCTTTTTGTACAGAAAGTTTTTGTTGTTCCTGTGTGTTTAATGAAAATGTTTACCTGAATACCTGGAAAATTAGTCGATAAATTATAAAATCAGTTGAGGTTTTTTTTGTTTCTTTCAGTTCTGTTATTATTTTAAAATGATGATGATGATTATAAATGAGATATAATAATAGTATTTAATTTGTAATATATTCTGAGGATGAAAATGAGAGCAGAAATTGTTAATTAATTGAAATGCTAGGTCATTCTGAAGGTTAATCAATGGTCTCATTTTGTTATCATGAGTAAGAAAATGGATTCATCATCATCATCAATTCAATTTGATTCAATTTTCTATCTTTAAGTTTTGTTTTCTTTTGCTTGTTATTGATTTGGTTTTGTGTTGATCTTTTTTTTTGCTGCTTCTTCCTCTTGGAGGAAAGATGAGAAACAGATTAAGATTGGGATTAAGATTAATTCGTCGCTCCCAATCAAGGGATGGGTAAGGGAAAGAGGAAGAGTGAGAGTGAGAGTTAGTGAGTGAAAGTGATAAATGATGCGCTTTTTGTAAGATGATGAGGATGGAGAAAGGGAGGAGGAGAAGGAGAAAGTTGGGTGGAAGATGAGGAAATGATGAAATGATGAAATTCGTTGTCATTGAGGTAAAACTTTTGGCTACTTTAGGCTAACCAGGCCCCGAATTTAAGGTGAGGGGGTTAAAGATGAAGAAGGAGAGAGAAAGTTGATGATGATGATGAAGGAAAAGAGATGATGATGTTAAGAGTAATCGTTTTTTCCCCTTATAATCAAGTCGACATGCTACAGGGTAACATCATCTTTTCTCGTTGATATGGTAATTTCTTGATAACTAAATAATCATCATTTCGTAAGAGATGATGATGATGATGATGATGAAGGAGAAGAAAAAGTTTTCTTATTAGAAATGGCGAAGAAAAAAAGCAGATTAAATTCTAATCCAGAGAGAAACGGAAAAAATGAACGATAATTTCTGAGAATAGAATTTTTTTTCCTTCTCTCTCATCATCATCATTTCTCATTTTTTTTTATTCTTCTACTTCTCTTCCATTTCATCTTCATTGTCATCCAAATACACACACACACACACATGGAAATGATCCAAAGGTAAATGTTCATGTTGATAACTATTCATTTTATTCAGTTACAATCTAACCTAAATTACATGGTCATTAGACTTATAACTTAATTGTCATCATCAAAATGATATTTTTGGTAACTTTTTTGCTTAGAACTTTTTTTTTGCAAACTCGATTATTTTTGGAAAAATTTTGAGCAAAAAAAATGTATCTCTCTAGTAATTCATCATCATCTTCATCACTTTTTGCAAAAATTGCACATTCAGTGTAATCATCATCATCATCATCCCAACAACAAACTCATTATCAACATAATATCATGATAATCATGATAATCTCTTAATTTTTTTTCATCTCTCCTCTTTCATCAACAATCAGATCAAAGACAATGATAAAAGTTTTAAATTATTATGATGATTGTTGCAGTTTCCATGTTAAATTAATGATTATGAAAAACAAAAAATGGAAACAAATTGTTCTGGTTTTCTGAAACAATCAGAGATAAACAAGTTTAACATTAAGAGCTTACAATGACTCTCATATAATATTATTGTTATTAATATATAGACAATTAGTTTTGATTACAATGTTGATTAACCGGTTACCAGAAAAAAATTACTCTCTCTCTCTCTCTCATCTTAACCAGCATATACACACAAATATACACACACAATTTTCAAGTGTATTCTGGTGAAAATGATAATAATAATCATCATCATGATAATCATCAACATCATCATAATCCAATATTAAGATAATGATAATATCATGTTTATATAATAGGAAAAGAAAAAGATAACATTGAAATAGATTTTCTCCTAATTCATTTCTCTCTGTTAACAATTAAATTGTTATGTTAATTGATTGGATAATGATGATTAAAGGAAAACAATTAAATGGTTTGATACTCACCAACTCGTATACAGTGAATGTGATTGGAATTACGAGATAATCGACAATCTTCAAAGGTACAAATTTCGTGTTTAAGAAACTTTATAACCATCTCGAGTTAATTGTTCATCTTTATTGTGATAAGTTTTATGTTTTTCTATGTAAAAAGATGGAGAGAGAGAGAGAGAATGGAAAATAAGTTGTCACAATGAAATCGAAATGACCAATGGTCAGATGATATATTCTAATGATACTTACCAATATCGGCTTTATTTTTAAATGTATATCCACAAGAATCTCGAATACAATGGAAATGAGTTGTTTTCCTACCATAAAATGTACATGAAGGTAAAAGACAATTTTCTGTTCCTCTGAATCGTTGGAAACCTTGCTCGATAATTGCAGCATCCTTACGGTGACATGAAGCGTGCATGGATACATCTGAAGTACTAATATAGATCTGTAATGATAAAAGATAAATATCAAGAGGAGAAAACAATCAATACACCAAATAGAAACAATTTGTTAATAGTAGATTCAAGATTTACAGAATATATCAAATCTTAGATAGGAAAAGTAAAGTCAAGTGGGTAAACCTTAAGTAGTAAGTTTTAAATTTAGTGTCAAATTTAGTGAGACTTGTGAGCTTTTCATAGACAATATATTCAATTTGAACAATTGAATTGAAAAGATCTGTTGACCTTTGTAAGGTTAATAGGAGCTTGAGTTGCAAAAGGTTTGATATTTAGTTTGCTGATCAGCTGATTTTCTGTATATGTGTGTGTATGTGTTTTTCAACACTTACCTTTCGACAACCTGGTTTAAGACAATGGTAGTGGGTTTGTTTCATTCGGTGTGGACAGTTAGGAAATTTTTCCGAACAATCGTCCAGGGAGGAGAAACGGAGGAAACCATTTCGGAGAGATTCATCTCGCTTCTTATGCCATTTAAAATGGCGGATCATCTCTTCCTTTTTAACGAAAACCTTTGAATAACAATCTAAACAGTGAAAATGTTCACGATATTGACGATCTCTGCAAATATCAGATCCACAATCTAAGGCATTGGCATAACTGTTTGTTGGTGTCCAGTCCATTCATCCGATGTCCAGTTTGGGTCCATTTTATTTGAGAAAAACAAAATTAAAAAAAAAGGTAAGCACATTAGCCTTTCCTGTGTATTAACAGTCAATCTACAGGTAGATACACATTATATTGGGTGGGACAAAGGGGTGATTCTGAAAAAAGCAACAGGCTAACAAAGGGATAACATTGAGCTGATTAGAGTTGATTGTTAATGTTAAGTTAAATTGTTCAAAAGAAACAAAATTGATTTGAATCATTTTCCTGTAATTGTAATCAGTTAATTGTTGTTGATTTAATGGTAACAAAAATCATTTGATTATTATCCTTAATCAGTGTTTAAATTGTTTGCTTTTAGGCTTATCAATCTCTCGAGTGAGATAATAAAACTTTTTTTTACATTTAAAACTCATCTTAATTGTTGATCACTAATTTTGTTTAATTGTTAATCATTTTAACCTTTAAAGAATTGGTTTCTAATTAAATTAGATTTATATTCAATTTGGTTTGTAAAAGCTACTTAATTTGTAACTGTTAATTAATCTTAATTTGTTACATGAAATTTAAGCTCAACAATTAACAATAACAAAAAGAAACAGATCAATTTAATAATTAACCTTGAACTTAATTAAAATTAACATTCTAATAAGATACTCAATGAATTTTAGTTTAATTGTAATTAAATTTAATTCTTAAATGATTTAACCGTGATTAAAGAGAGGATTAAGGAAATGATTGAAACTTTTTGCTAATTGTTAATCAAGTGAAAAGCCAGAAAAAAAAACCTCAGGGAAAATTACTCAATAATTAGATTAAATTAACTGATACAAATTGTAACATCAGTTGTGATCAATTTCAGCAATTAGATTAATTAAAATGATTGGAAATTTTCCAATGATTGATCATATTATTGGTCAATTGGTCAGTTTTAAACTGCCTCTCTACCATCAATCAAATGATTGTCCACTAGGATTAAGAGTTGATTGCAATGATAATCTTAATTTTGTGGTCTTGATTTAACAACAAAATTAACAGAAAATTAAGTTCAGCAAATTAGCAGTTGATGATAGGACTTGATTTACATCAACAACAATCAACAGTAAACAATCAAGATAAGCAAATGGAAAGGCAGTTGTTACCTGTTGACAGTTCAGCAAACAAGCAAAATAACATGAAATTTATGAGTTTTTTTTTACTACCACAGGTAAGTTTTTATCTGTCTATTTCTCTTTCTTTTTTTCTCTTCCTATTTGTTTGCTAAAAGGTAAATAAGCTTAACAAATCTGTGAATAGAAAAAGGTAAAGATGAATGAAAAGACCAGTGTCAAGATAATGAATCAACAGGTAAATGAGAAGCTAAAAAACAACAACAACAATAACAAGAGAATCAGTAAAGCAAAAAGGTGATAAGATAAACAATCAATGAGAAAAGAGCAAAAAAAAGCACAAGATTAGTGATCAATTTTACAGGTAAATTCGTCCAGGTAGATGAGGATAAAAGATGATGGGGATACTACGAATGGACGGTAAAAATAGTATCAACTTGTTGTCGATGTACAATCGAGAGTTGAAAAGTATATACACAAACCTTAGAGTTAAGGTCAGGTCATTTGTCGATTGCTCGTAAATTTGATTATTCGTTAACATTGATAAATCATTTGATTTTTTTCTTACCTGAGGTGATAATTTATAGCGATTCAATGTAAATGTATATATACAAATTGTATCAGTTTTTCCCTATGGAAGACAAAAATCATCTCTCTCTCTCTCTCTTACTGTGAATACTATTATTACTTCACACTTATCAATGATTATGGTTATCATATGAATGAGAATCAAGGTGAAAATGTGACTGACAGATAAAAAAAACTATTTGAAAATAATGAAGGAAATTGTGGTTTTCTTTTGGTAATAAATTGATTCTCAATATCATCTAATAATATTAATGGTTAACGGTTTGGATCAATTTGTAAGAAAAAAGTTCTAAATGGAGGTAAGAAGATGAGGAGGAGGATAAGAAAGGGAGAGACAGAAGAGGAAACTAACGGTAAATGTCAAGCGATGATACTAATGGAATAAGAAAGTGTAACATGTCACAGGAATTGCGCTCCTACGATTATCAATACGTGCTAATATCTTATTCCTATTTAAATATTAGTATTTAAAGGTTAATCGAGTCTCAATAATATCGATTACATTTGTAATTGTCTCTCTTTACCAAATCTTTCAGATCTAAAACTAACATAAGCTTTTGATACATCATCTTAAATATGATGTGGGAAGATGTTATCGCAATATATAAGTTAAAGTGAGCAATCATCCTTATCATCATCATCATCATCACCGTCGTCATCATCATCTTAGATGAGAGAGAGAGAGAGCAAAAAGTTTCACGTTTTTTATGCAAAATAAAAACGAGATGTTGATCTAACATAAGGTAATCTATTCATAAAGATTATCCAGTTTGTCTTGACTTGTCAACATCACATTGTGATGATATATCATCATCATCATCATAATCATCTGAATAGATGTAAAAATAATGTTGACTTGTTTGCTTTTCATCCGATGTCATCTAAGTCACAATTTACCTGAGAAACTGCAACAGGTAAAAATGGCGCCGATTGTTGATAAATAATCATTTTTAAAAGTGAGAAACAATTGATTGAAATAACCAAAGGAGGTGGAGGATGAGGGAGAGGAGGGTTCATCATGGTGGTGGAAAGATATGGGTGGAGAGACTGAATGATTCTGTGGTGGTGTTGATTGAATATAAGGTGGAAAAGGCTTAAAGAGACAATCAACTCACTCAGATTGCAGTTTTATCATTTTATTACTTTTCAAGGATATAAAGTGAATCAGTTAATTACATGATAAATCTAATGCTCGAACCATAATAACACTGGAAGATTGTTAATTGTTGTAAATGACAGGGAGAAAATGTCAACGAACTGAATTTACAGTTGAAATTTTTTCTTTCAACTTTTTTTCTCTCGTTCCAATGACAGTTAGTTGATCAATTGTCTTAACAATTAACTCGACAATCAGTTTATGATATTAAAGATGAGATTGTTGATTGATTAATGACGACGGTGAAACCTGTTGATTAATTTCAATCAATTTTTTTTCATTTTCTTTCAAGAATCAAGAAAAAAGTTCTCATCTTTGAATCAGAACTTTTTTCGCTGAATTTTTTGTTCGATGAAAAAGTTTTTTTTTTCTTCAAACATTTCGATCCGGAAAAATGGACTTAATTTAGCAAATTCTCCATGATGGTGATTAGTATCATTGAGAATGAATGAAATTAATGTAACCATTCAGAGTTTTAGCTATTGAACTTTTTGCAGAACTTTTTTTTCCATCTCTTAACTTATCAAAATCATCATCCATTCATCATCTTTTTGCATTCAATGGTCTTTGTCCCCAGCTTAGTAATTCATTTAGGGTCTACCCTGACTGGTCAGTCATTTTTATCCTGCTTTCAGGTAACCACTTTTTTTATGTGCATCATCATGTATATCATTCAATTCTGATTGCATTTGATGATCTTGCTGAGAGAGTTGATTCAATTGAGAGAGAGAATTTTTTATCTTTTCAGAATCTTTTTGTTTCTTCCTATGAACATACACATTCAATGAGATAAACACATTGGTACTTTTACTTGATTGATCGGAAAATCATCTCTCACATGAATCACTCCCTCTACCACCACCACCTCCTCCTCATCCCTGAGCAAGAAAAAAATGATGAAGATGCTCTCTCTCTCTCCATCTAAAGAAGAAGCCATTTTTCCCTTCATCTCTCTCTCTCTCTCTCTTCCTCACTCTTGCTAATGTTCATCCCTAACCTTCATCTTCATCATAACCACCACCCCAACACATTCACATCATCCTCATTTCTGTCAATTTTTTTCTTCATCTTTAACAATCAATATATTTAGAGTTCTAACCACAATTCTTGATCCATCATCAACAGAAAAACCATCAAAGGTCATCAAACGAACTGGACTCCCGGGCCTTTTCTCAATCAGACTCCTTCATCTTTTCTTATACTTCTTAACTTTTTTTTATTCTTTTATTTTTTTTCTCTTCTTCTTCTTCATCTTTTTTTTTCTGCAACTTCTTGTTGCTCCTTCTCTTGCAAATCCATCTTCATATCTCTCTCACTCTCTCACTCTCTGTACTTATCTTCATCATCATCAAAAAGAGGAGGTAAGATGCAACAATAACAATTCACCTCCCACTGATAAAATCAACATTTAAAACAACAACAATCAGTAACATGAAACAAAAATTAGACACAAAAAAATGCATTTAATGTATTATTATTATCTTCATAAACTAATCATCATTTTTCCCTATGCAGTATATTTTTTTTTGCAAATTGTCTTTTGTTATTTTTCAACAATTAGGATGATTAGTCATGGTGATTAACTGCTACCAACTACTTTTCCAGGTGATTTTCAGTGAAAAAAAAACGCAGCAGCAAAAAACCATCACTGAACAGATAAACATTAGTATATGTATGCAAAGAACTGCAAATGCATCATTGAAATAGCAGAAAAATTAAATAATCCAACAACTAAATTACTAAATTGCAACAAGAAAATATAAATAAACTGAATATTAAAATTGAAGAAAAACAAAAGCAACAATCAACTAACATGCAAACAGTTTGCATTTGAAAATTTCCGTTTCTCAAAGTCAACTAGTAATAACTGCATTTGCTCAGGTAAATTTCATGATAAATGATGATATTAATGATGATGATGATGATGATGATGATGATGATGGATACACCATGAGCATTTTAAATTGTAGTAACAGATTAGGATTCAATTTGTCATCAGTCTCATATGTGGTTTTTCATGTTGATTGTTGATGGTTGCTCGTTATTCAATTGAACACAGAGATTAGATTTGCTTGTTGATTGTTGATTTACAATCAAAGTAAAACCTTGAAAAAAGGAAATCATTTTTGTTTTATTTTTTGCTATTACCTTAATCCAATAATCAGTTTGATTAATGAATGAGATAATATTTCAAATGAGAATTGGGAAAGATTGAGTATCTCAAACAATATAATATGTATTTGTATTAATCAGTTGAGGTCATAATTTAGATTTTAAAAAGATCAAGCTGAGTGTAGGAATATATTTATATACAATTTAGATTTGATTAATTTGACTCTGTATTTAATCATCGTATTCATTAGGATGATTATATTAATATAATTTGATGGAGAAAAAGAAAAGTTTAGAATTAATTTTTTTTTTCTTCTTCTTTTCTGATTCTAATAGCGAAAGGCGTTGTTGCATGTTACCGACTCATTCGCTGTGCTTTAATGGACATCGAACATGATTTTCAATAGTTCGGTGAGCACATAGAAGATGATGAGAGAGAGAGAGAGAGAGAGGAAAAGTCACAATTTGCATAATTAGCTAATCAACAGGTAATCAGAAAGATGATGATGATGAAAAGGAGGAGGAGGAAGAAGAGGTGATGAAAAGGTAAATATTAAAGAGTCAAAGGTTTGGTAGCTTTCAAAGATGAAGAGGTTAAAGGTTATCGGGTGTCTATGGTTGACATGTTGTTGGTTCATGTGGTTGGGTCAAGGTTTAAGTTGTGGTTGATGTTGTTGTTGTTGTTGTTTGTTTGTTTGTTTATTATCAAACGGTTATTAGATTTGCAATTTTCCGCTCGCCAGGTAATTTTTTGTTTTTGTTTTCATGGTTTTCACCAGGAAAATTTATAAATATCAACAACTTTTATCATCTTGTTGATTTGCAATCATTGATTTGGAAAAATTGAAACAATTCTTGCTGATTCTTGAATGATTAGGTTGTCAAAGAGTTGTCAAGTATAAGGAGTTTACCGTTATCATGTCTCTCATTGTCATCTTATTTACTTTTCAGATGATTAACTAAATTGTTATGATAAATACAACTGCCTATCAAATATTACAATCAAGTGATCATCTGATTGTAATAATGTTTCAAAATGTTTCATAATTTTTTACCCGCTGGTAAAAACAAAACACAGTCTCGTCCAATAGTTAATTTTTGATTACCTGAAACATGATCAACCATAACAATTAAAGTATTAACAATAATAAAAACAATCAATCCAATAGTTGATTAATGTTTACATTTACAAATAGACTTGAAATATACAAAATATAATTAATGTTAAAAAACGTTGATTGTAAATACAATCAAAACTGTTGTTGATAAATTGTTTATATTTAAATGGTTCAATTTTATTTTGTAAACAATTAAGATGAACATTAATTTACAATTTTCCCTTTCAATGAAATCACATGAATACACTAATTATTACATAGAGTACAATTAGATTTGCTATGAGAGAGTAAAAGAAAAGTTCAACCTAAAAGGTAACAATTAGCAAACTAATCAGTTAATTTACTTCTTGTAGACTGCAAATCTTCAACTCTTTGGGTGCAAAAACCAAGGTCGATATGAGAGAGAACGAGAGAGTGGGAAATTTAAATAGAATCACCGAGAGAGAGAGAGAGAGAGAGAGAGAGAGAGAGAGAGAGAGAGAGAGAGAGGAAGAGGGAGAAAGAGATTAATTAACTTACCGTTTAACATAATTAGTATAATCGACTTTGTTTCCTGGTACAATTTCAAGTTCGGCACCAAGTGTACCTTGAAGAATAGCGGAAGGAGGAGTGATGAGAGATCGATCTATCCATGGAGCGGGTCCGAGATTGGTGATAAGTTTACTCGGATTATTGCCCGAGGTGGTTGAGGAAGATGAAGATGTTGATGATGAGGTTTTAGTAGATAATTTAGTTACATGATGATGAGAAGATGATGAATTATGATGATTGTTGTTGTGACTGTTTCCAGATGAATTGATTATTGTTGGTGTTGGTGATGTTGTAATGGTTGTTGTTGTTGTCGATGATGAGGTTAATGAGAGAGGTGTGTTGTTACTGTTACCCGGTGAAAGGGTTGAAGGTGAAAGTGGAGTTGAACGTTGAAAAACATTAAGAATTGAATCACTTTTAGAGCAACTATTTACAACCAGAGGATTATGACGAGCAGCAAGATGATTAAGGTGATGATTAAGGTGATTAAGATGATTAAGATGAAGATTTGGTTTAGGAGGATGATGATGATTATTATTATTATTATTATTATGATTAGATAAACGATTAGCAATATCACTTGGTTTTACACTAAGATCAAATGGTTTATCCTCATCCATATCGGTGGCGAGTGGGAAACACACTGGGTATTAAAACCACCGCGTGTTTATCAGGGGGGATTAAGAGCACTGAAGATTTTCAATTAATATCAATTTGGTGTCACACATATGATGATGATGATGATGTTGTTGTTGTTGTTGTTGTGGTGTTGATTTAGATGACGATGGTGATGAAGATGGAAAAATAATACAGATGATTATTATTATAATTAGAAAACGATAACGATGATGAAACGATGAAAATGATAGAAGAGGCAAAAAAGATGAAATGAGAAAAAAAGAGAGATGGTTATGGAAGAGAGAAAGAGAGAGAAAAAAAGAGAGAAAAATGAGAAAAAAAAGAGAGAGAAAGATGATGAAGATGATGATAAAAAAGAAAACAAAATAATAGTAAAGGGAGTGATAATATTATTGGTTGAAAAGGTTTCCGGTGAGGCGGAGGATAAGTGAGACTCCACCTTAAACAAGGAGTGTAAACATTTAATACGCAAGCATCAAAGTCTCATCATCATCATCATCATCATGATAAAATAAAAATATGAATACTAATAAAATCTGATGAATGGTGAATTCAATCACAGGGTAAAGATACTCACACAGAAACTCACCACCATTGGGAAAACAAACTTATTGATGTTTTTTTTTCATGTCATTTTGTGTCTTTTGTGTATTAGTGAGAGAGAGAGAAAGAGAAATGAGAGAGCAAGGAAAAGAGAGAGTTATTCTCACTCATCCGAGCCTTTCCTCTTCAACTTCATCTCTTGTTATTGTGAAGATTAAGGTTTTTTTGTCTTTTTCGTCCCAAGTTATATTTTCGACTTCTCGTCTTCCGTACATTGAACAAAAATCTACATTTTTGGCTCATCTTACAAAATTTTTGGCATAATTTGTACAATTTCAGTTCGAATGATGTATTGAGAGAGAGAGAGCGAGAGAGAGAGAGACAATATCTCTCTTAATCCACTCTCAAGGCTCAATCTTTTCTTTTGCTTTGTTTTCTTATCTCTCTCACTTGATCTTTATCTCTCTCTCTCTCTCTCTCTCTCTCTCTCTCTCCATCTTCATCACTTTTGATAATTTTATTGTGGTTTCTCTTGAAAACAATGTTTACAATCATTACGAAGTTAATATTAAATATCAAATGGCAAAAGAGATTTAGTTTTAATCTAATTTTCGTCAGGTAATTACTTATTTCATTCCAGAAGATTGGAGATGCTGATGATGATTAAAGACGCGAATAAAATGAAGATTAGATTAGAGATTAAGGATTAAGAAGATAATGATGATGACGGTGATGAAAAACGACGAAAATGTTGAAAAGAAAAATAAAACTCGAAAATATAACAAAATTTAAAATCTCATTATAATGCGACCGTGAAAGTTTTCAACAGTTACAACTTTTTCTTACTAAATGACAACAACGTTTTGTTTTTATCACCATAGTGATCGTCATATTGGGATGAGGATGGAGATGGAGATGATAAGATGACGATGATGATGATGATGAGGGAAACTTTTGCATAATTGTTGTTGTTGTGTGTTAATTGTTTTCAAGCTCAGCAGAAAAAAAACGAACCAAATTACAATATAATTGCTGGTAACATCTAATCAAAGTAAAAATGTTTTCTTTTAACAATTAAACAAACTAATTAACTTGATGATTATCACAAATTGTAATTCAATCTGATTGTAATTAATGTGATTTGTTAACAAATCAATCGTAAAGGGTTAATCAGATGATCCAATGAACAACCAATGATTAACAACATTATCGGTTTAATTGTAAAAGTATTTTAATTGTCCACCTAAATTGTTGTATGTTGATTAATTTGAAACTTTGTAGTTTATTGGCCAATGAATAAATCATCAATTGATTGTTAACATTTGCTGAATTACCAATGTACCAATAAATCAAATCAATAAACCTCAAATAAGGACAATTTATTTTAATGATAATCAATTGATCAAATAATTTAAATCAATCAAATCACAATTTTGTCAACCCCAAGTAACATCAGTCATTACAATTCAGATCTATGGGTTTTTTTATCCTGTGTCAATATGCCAATAATATTATGAAATATGGGTCAAGATTTAATAATAAATCAGAATTTAACAATCGATGGGGGGAAGAACTTTTTTAGAACTTTTCGAAAATTTCGAATCTTATTTTTTCTCAGAAAAGTTGAGCAACTTGACCGAACCTTGAATTTTTTTTCTTCTCCTCTTGGTGACCATGAACATAATTCTTTGTAATATTCACCATGAGATGAGAATGATAATGATGTCATTTTATTGTAAGAGAGAATAATGAATGAGAAGAGATTTATTTCCATGGAGGGTGGTGGATATATCGATAGAGAGAGAGAGAGACAGAGAAATAGAAGATGAGAAAAAAGAAAAGAATAAGAAATCAATTGGGAAAAGAAGAGATGGAGAAGATGAAGATAAAAGATGATGATGAAGATGAAGATGAAGATAGACAACAAAAGGAAATATTTGCCAAAATTCGAATTCAACTTATATTTTTGTTTTTTTCTTTTTTCTTCTAATTCATTCGCTTTTTTCTCTCATCATGTTATTTCCTCTTCATCACCATGAACAAAAAGTGTATTTAAAGACTATCCATCTCTCTCTCTCTCTCTCTCTCTCTCTCTCTCTGAACTTTATACTAATTTTCACCGAAGTTAAATGAGTTCTTTTTGTGAGAAACACTTTTGGCAAAGAGGATTGACAGGACAGCGAATTCATGAAGAGAATCAAGAGAATTGGAATAACATTGCAAAAAGAACAAAAAATCAGGTTCTATTCTATTCTTTTTATGCTTAATTTCTCTCTCTCTCTCCCTTCATCTCTCTTTTCTATCATATTAGAGTAGAAAAAAAATTCTTCTCCATCTTATTCTCCTCCCTCTTGACCACTAATAACTATCAATAAGATGATGAAAGAATAATAGAAAGAAATAAAGAAAGAAAGAGAAAAAAAAAGAAAAACAAAAAATCAATCAGAATAATAATAATCTGATTGACCATTTGAGTAAATATTTTTCATCTCTTTTTTACCTGTTATCCTTTTTAAATAATTGACTTTCCAAAAAAAAACTATTCTTACCTGTTACTTACACATAATAATCATTTATTGTGTAACTTTGTTCACCTTTTGTTTTCAACGAGTAAAAAACAACCAATTTGATTTTTACACTTAACCATCAACAGGTAATCATTATCATGTATAAGCAATTTATTGATCAGCAACAAAATGTAAATATTGTTACAATTGATTAACTTTGTAAGTGGTCATCAACAGTTTAACTGACCCTGTCCAGCAATTGAATGTTATATTTTGAGATAGTTTCCAGGTCACACTTTAAGTGGTTTACAAAGTGGACAATGTTAATATAGTAAACATTGCACATGAATCAAGGTGATACTGATAATTGCCTGAGGCTAAAATGATGATGAAGGCTTTTTTAGTACAGAAAAAAACTCCTATAATCCTTTTCCTTTCCAATAGTCGACAATTGAACCAAATGTCCAGTGATTATTTCTCTCTCTCTCTCGATTTTTATGCAATAGCAACAACACATTGCATACAAGGTTTTTTTCTTTCGAAAATGCAACAAAAAGATGATGCTGATGAAGAAGATGATGATGATGGATAGTGAAAGGGATGGAAGATAAAGAAAGAAAGAGTGTCGATTGAAAGGGAAAAGAGAGTGAAGAGTAAAGATCCGGTGACTTATCAACTATTGGCAGTTTTTTTCATTCATCTCGCGCCTTTTTTACTTTGCATTATTAATAGAATTGCGAAATGAGAGAGAAACAGAAAGAGAGAGTTACATAAGAATGAGTCTAAACAACCTTAACCCAGTTATTTTTCCTCCTCTCTCACCCTCTCCCTCCCTCCTTATGTCTTCTCATTGAAAGAAAATCACAGCCAGATAGAGAAAAAGAGAGAGAGAAACGAAGATATTGAAACAACTCGTTATCATTGACGAGACGGTTTCGAATATGAAAACGACAAAATCGATGTAAATAAAACGGGGTTTACCTTTTCTTCCTTCATCATAATCATAGTCATTATCATCATCATCATCATCCTCTTTCTCTCTCCCTTACCTAACCTTTTCTTTCTTTCATCTTACCCATTTTCTGCCAAAAGGATTTCCTCAATATTTCTTACTTCTTATAAGAATATGCTAAAAGAAGAGTAGGTTCTCAGAATGGGTTTGGCCTTTTAAGCCCTTGTGACACAATTTTCAGTCTCCTCAGCACGAGAGAAGAGGGAGAAATATATAAGAGAGAGAGAGAGAGAGAGAGAAGGTATTGATAATAGTGATAATAATAATCCCCAAGAAAGCAAAAGTAAAATTGTATTCGTATCAGTCGAATATAGCGAAAGCGAAACTTTTTTACCTCTAACGTTTGATAAAAATGGTTATTCTAACACAAAAAAGAGACCAAGAGAGAGAGAGAGAGAGAGAGAGAGAGAGAGAGAGATGACGATGAAGAGGTTAGAATGGGTGCCAGGAAGAAAGAAAGTGGGAGAATTCAAATAACCTCGAAAAAAATACATCTCATAGAGTAAAAGAGAGATGATGTATCCATAGAATGATGAATGAAAACTCTACCTGAGAGAAGAAGGAATAAGGAAGAAAAGGGAGCTAAGGGATGAAGATGAGGTGAAAGCGAAAAGAGGAAGAAAGAAAGAGAGAGAGAAAGTACTTTAGAATGATGAAAAAAAGTAGTAAACTATTTTTCTTGAAAAGGTAAACACGTTATTGTGCTAAGGGGTCGATATTAAGGTGGATAAATTGAAGGCTAAAAACGGATAAAGGATGGGCAATAGATCGAGAGAAATGTTCAGTTAGGTCCAAATTCGAAGCGAGAGAGAGAAAAAGGAGAAGAAGAAAATTTTTATATTCTTTTATCTTCTTCCTCGTCACCATCATCATCATCTTACTCCATATGCTATTAGCCCATTAGATGGAAAAGGGGAAATAAATTCGAAAGGTTCTATTAATAGAGATCATTTCTTTTTATTATTATTCTTTTTTCTCTACTATCAATTCCGTTTCTCTCTTGACATACATTTAGATTTATGGATCTTGTGTACTCATTAATACATAACTATGGAAGACGAAGGGATGATAAACAAGAAGATAATTGGAAGAAGAAGAAAACAAGGTAAGAAAGAGAATAAGATGAAAAATAGGAAGAGAGAGAGAGAGAGAGAAAAGTAAACAAAATATTCTCAACAAGTTATTCTTCATCTTCTTATCGAAATCAACCTTTGAACATCTCGATAAACAATCAGCATCTTATATCATGATGATAATTATTATCTAACCCGTTTGTCTATTGATTACAAATGTAAAATCAAATGTAATGAAAGGGATAAACAATCAACAAGTAAGTATCGATAATCAAGTTTATTGAACTCGAACGATAATTATTAATATCAACATGATATTTATGAATTTTTCTTATAATACTTTTTATTTGCTTCCTACTTTGAGATTTTAACACAAACGAAAACAAATTAATACTCAAAGAGAAACATAATTAAGATGATAATCTATTTCTGTTTACTCTTCTCTCTCTCTCTCTCTTTATCACG